AACATTCCTGGATCCTGACTTGTTAACTACAATAGTAGTGACATATTGGTAGCTACCTCGGAATAGACCAATACTTGGATTGTGATCTGAAGAGAGTTCGAAATTAGGCGATAGATTTGCAGATCAAGAGCAAGGCTTGAAGAATGCTTGTAGTTTCGTTCCGTCGTCGAGATGCGCCTTTTATCATACGCTTAGAAGCCGGATGATCTTGCTCTTGATACAATTTACTCAAACTATAGTCTTTAGTTTATTCAGCTCATGTGATAACGAGTTTGCCCGATGTTTTGACTCCTGTCCTTTCAAATCTTTCACCCTGTGCGGTAAAACATTCTCCTTCCTTAGGCGACATTCATAGACTAGTGAAGTCTTTCTGGATGCAAGATTACAACCCCATTGAATAGAGAGAGTAGAAAGGAAAACGTTACATAGTGCTTTCTTATGCCAACCGCCACCATTTGAGTCCCACCTTGCCAACTATACCGAGTCCTGGCTCCCTGCTGCTTGGAGTGGAGCGAATCTCCGAAATACTCAGAATCCATGTACCTACAGTACGTATGTCTTTGAGCTCTATGGTTGACCTTTTAGAGCAATTGGAACAGCCTTCGCAGTCTTCTTTGTTACTACGACTCTTTTTGCGGCGTGACTGTTCAGGTCTTCTATGCCAACTCACCAAACGTCGTTACGGCGGTAAACAGGTGGGTCTTTGTCATTCTGAACAGATAACCTCCGTCACCGCCTTTGAGAAACTCATCGCTTGAAGTCGAGGTCAGCAGCTAAAAAAGAAAATTAAAAAGAATTCGTATGTCGTATAAAAACGGAACCGTAATTGCCGGCCCGCAATCACGCCCTATTCACCACGTCGTGGTATTTGGGTGCCAACCCCGAAATCCAAACACTGATCATCACCTTATGTCGTGCAGCATCCTGATTCTTACGTGATAACCTGTCGAGAGCTGCCGCATACTTCTGCTTCGTATTTTACGAGATACTTTTGGGGAGGGAATCGAATTGCAATCGCATCAATGTGGAGAAAGCTTGAGAGAACTTGTTTTTTGATGGGTTCTGAATCAAAACTGCCTTGATGATAAAGTACACTTAAATAACTATCTGGATAGGCCCAAAATACACAACTAGCAGCCGGATCCAGACAAAAAGATCCTGTTCTTGTGAGCCAGTGGCCCATTATGAGGCAGAATAATTGACCCCTTTCTATGAGTCGACTTACTCTCACGCTCCACGAATAGGCCAGCGCCAACCAAAGACGGATTCTCCTTTCCCCGCATGGTTCTGGAGGTCATCCAAACAAAAAGGCCGGCCTACTTGGCGTGGAATCAGATCTCTTTGAAGCCTTCATCACTGTAGTGAACATTCTCCTGGCAAATTCCACGCCCAAAATCTTCTAGGTGTCGAAAGGCTATGACGTGCGATTATCCGATCTTCGTGACTTTTCAATATACCGTGCCAATTCCTCAAGTGGGCCGCAAAGTCGACACGTTGGTTGACGTCGAAGCACATGTTGCACACTCTACACGTCCCATTCCTGGTCTTTATTCTGATACGTATTTTACATAGCCATTCAAGGCTTTTCAGCATGCGAACCCCATCACGTGATGCTTCAAATTCTCTCCGATCCTTCGGACCCGTCTAAAACCTGTTGCAGAAGGTGTAGGTACGACGAAAATTGTTCCTGTGTTTCTTGCGTTCGGGAGCCTTCAGGGCCAGGCAGGGTTGGCACTGCTTGCCGCAATACTTATAGTAAGTGGTAGATATGTGGTTACTGGTCGTATTTTGCGATCAAATTCTGTTCTAATCCGAACTTTTCTTTGGAATCGAATCTCCGGCATTTTTACCCGCTTACAATTCCCTCTATAAATATGACCCTCTCAATGCGACGATGTCAGTACGTGCCAAGTTCCCAGACTGTCTGGGGACATGTAGAATGAAGTGTTCGATGACACGTACCTCAAGATATCCAAGATGAAGGATTCAGATTGAAGTTTGGAGAAAGCTGAGAAGTTGAGAAGTTGAGCTTTGGTGCTTCACACGAGTTACAGAGAGTCCCTCATTCTTTCGAAATTTTTAACGTTGAAAGAGAAACTATTATTGCATATAAGATGAGAAATTCACGGCTTCAAGTACCTCGACGCTTGTATAGAATGATTGAATCAACCTCTACCTTGGCCGAGATTTGGCTCTACCCACTTCTCTAGGGTAATATTTAACTCAAGATGACTAAGATGAAGCTGTTCAAAACAGTGCTGTCAAAAGGGATACAAGGTAGACTAACTGAGGTATGGTGGCATGTTGGTATACACTACGTTCCGGCCATAGGAGGTCTTGATCGCTTTGAATATGTGACTATGCAATCACCACCCGTTCACCATTGTTGGTCATATCACACTTGTGCTCGTAATCTCAATGATCCGCCCCTTTCAATGACATCACAAGTCTAAAGTGAATTAATAGATATTTTTGCTACAAGGAACGAAAGACGGTATAAATACATGCGTGTCTATGATAACATAACGAGGCCGTTTGGTTAGGTGAGCACTCGACGACTATTCGAATTGAGGCAGCAGGGAAATCGTCTACTGATACTTCAACGCTTTGGAAACTGCGATCAGGGCCTAAATGGCCTGTGAAGAAGACCCGAGCCGTCGGTCATAGTCGAAGTGACAAGTTTTTGCTTCAAAAACCCGGAACGTAATATAAGGTATTCCCTTGCCTTATGATAACAGTTGTGTCTTTAATAGAGAATATGACAAACGCCTCCAGCACTGAATACTCATGTGTGAGCCATGTCCAAAAAATCACAGACCTATTAGGAAAATTATTCTGTCATTCAGGAGATGAATAAATCAGTTAGGCCAATCATTGATACTTGGGCACAGTCGCTGACATCTATTCTATCTCAGGCTCTTGCGCAAACTCCGCGCGCATTCCCGTGGGCCATTTCCAGTCTCGGTACCTATGGCCCTGTTCGTAATGATATTGGATGTGATCCAGGCGATGAGATCGGCTTATGTGTTGGCGTAGTAGAGGTCCTGAGTGTAGGCTTATCTTGATGCCGTGATTACAAAACCCACACCAATAACCTTCAAAATCTCTCGGGAACCACCATATGTTAAAGATCCATCCGATTTGGCCTACAGTCGGTGGTAGCTGGTGATCCTCTGAGACGTGTTCCCAAAAGTCTTTGCGTTCTCTCCATTTAAAGGGTCAGTTACAATATACCGGTGCCGGGGCGTTCGCGCCGACTGAGCTGCTTGAGGCGGCTGAGCCGGCAGAGTTGCTTGAGCCGGCAGAGCTCTCTGGGGACAAATTTTGGGAGCAAATCCACGAAATACGTGAAAGCATATCTTGCTCCTTGTGTCTTTCTTCGCACTCTCTCCAGGCCCTTGGATTGCCCGGGAACGCCTCGGTGCAGCGGCCGCAGGTACAAGCGTAGCGGATATGAGCATAATCATGGGCTGGTTCGTGGGCAAGCAGCGCATCTCGATTTTCGAATCGTCGGTCGCAGTACCCGTAGTAGCACATGAGTTGTCCGTTACTGTTTCCATTAGTGTAAATAGTTACGGCCTCGTTCAAAGCATCCTCGCTGCCGGATTGTTCACTCCTGGGTCCGTCTGGGGGGGGGGCCCATGTTTGAGACCGAGAAGGCGTCTCCATATTGACCGTCTAAGACGTAGACACCGTTTATGGCATGCGGCATGATGTTTCTATAGGGACACTGTAAGAATGTGCTGGGCCCAAAGACTATCTTAGTGGGTAGATCGAAGCAACAGCAACCTATCTTGAGATAAAATGATCGGTGGTTCAACTTGTGGTTGGAAGAGAGCACGTTGCAAGTGAAAGCAATAACTTTGAGGTTGTCTCAATGGCTGATAGAATGACTTGAGTGATGGATAGTATTATAGCTTCGAGATAGGAAGTAGCACTCCTAATATACTCGCGTTTCGATGAGGAATAACTAGGTAGATGGCTTACTATATGGTGCAAGATCTTGTACTCTCGGCATTACCGACTTTCACACTGATGGTTCATGAATGAATTAGGCGGCGTGGTATTCACCCCAGTCTCATCAAGCGGTACGAATCAAATTGCTCTTCGCATTGAAGAAGTGGCAAGAATTCCTATCTAATGCGGCGAACGGTGAAATTGGCCCCTTCTTGATATCTACCGCCATCAGGAACACATTTCGGTGAAGCTTGACAACAATTTTAATTACCCCAAAGAGAAGCCTGGTAAGTAGCTGAATATTCCCCGTGAAAAAAGAAAAAAGCTATCCGGTGAACCAGGATGCCAATCGCCTATGTGAACTTGTCCTGTAGCTGCAGAGGTGTTTACGTTGATTCGGCGGTAAACACGCCTTTGTCACCTCGGCCCGGTGACCGAGTGACCACAACGACCGCCTTTGATTATAAGCTCTAGGAAATTATCTAGGCTCCCATGGATTACTCGCGAATCGGCAGTTGAGTCCTACAGCAAGTGCCCATTTGTCAACTCTTGTGCTGCGTGAATGACGGGCATTCTTCAAGTCCAAGCTTGACGGTACCTCTGTTGAACACATTGAAGTCAGGAAAGCAAGGTTGCTGTGACGAATCATTGCAATAGTGGCAGTCTCTGCAGATGAATGATCAAGCCAATTGCTAACTCACGCAACAATGCATACTGAACAGTTGACTGGGTGGACAAAGGGTCTGTTGCTGTTATCGGCCATGCGGTATCAAACGTTTACCAGTAAAACCGGCCCTGAAAAAATCGGACCATCAGTAGATCACCCGCGCCCATGGGTGAACAGCAATCGGCAAATCAGTGGGGGGTTTATTGACCGAGCCAATCACCGGGTTCTAGACCGTTTGCCGGCGAGAGTAGTTGTTTTCAACAAAGAATGTGATCAAAGACTTCAGTTCTCGTGTACAACATCCCCCGGCACACAAAGCCCAGACACGCGGCACCCATGTATCCAATCTCAACACCCTCCCACCACCCACCATCCATCACGGCAATCCCTGCCTCACATCCGTCCTCTCATTCAACCCCCATGCCTGCGAACTCCTATCATGAACAGTAGCCCTCCTCATATCCCTCCTATACCTGTACGCAAACTCCCCGCCCATGGCGCGGTGCATTGTGCAGGTATTATCCCAGACAACCATATCCCCGACATCCTCCCACTCCACCACGACGCGGTACTTTTCCTGCGTAGCGTGGTCAAAGAGCTTCTCGAACAGGGTCTTTGAGGCCTCCGGGGTGAGGTTCTCGATGTGGTGGATGTGCATCGCGAGATAAAGGTTCATCCGGCCAGACGATTCATGTTTTTGTATGAGCTTGTGTCGTCCCATTGGGTGGTCTGCGGGCTCAATGTTCGCAAAGTGCTCCGGGGCGGCGAGCTTCTTGGAATGCAGGATAGAATGACAAGCAACGTAGTCTTTCTCCGTCAACTCCGCCTTCATATCCTCACCAAGCCCATCCCACGCAGCCCTGGTATCGCAAAACTCCGTGCTTCCACCTGTGCCCTTGGGAGGCAAGTCATGTGCCAGAAGCAGAGAATATCCTGCCCGTCGAGGATTGAAACTAGAATCGACATGGAAGAGGGCATTGCCCAACCCAGCCTGGGCACGCGGGGATCTAGGATCGACGATGGAACCGTCTGCCTCGATGTTTCCTACGTCGAAGAGCTCATCGTACTGGAGGCGGTTGATACGACCTGCTTTGTTGTAGGGTTTGACGTCGTCTAGCTCGCCGAGATGTCGGGCTAGGGCGATGTGGGTTTCGTCTGTAAGGCCGCTTTTGCGGATGACGAGGAAGCCATACTGTTTGAAGGTCGTTACTTAAGTATGATAGATAGGCTTGATGGGTCCAGGAAGGGCACCCCGAAAGCTTACCTTGTTGACAAGATCTTCAATCAGGCGAGCGCTTTGATCGAGGGTGTCAGGTTGAAATGGAAAGTTGTGTGCTTCGATCCCGAAGCCGGGGCTGAGCTCCTTGGTATGAAGTTTGGTGATAGCCATTGCAATAGTCTGTGTGCAGAAAGTGGTCGGGATGGTTCGCAGTCAGATGTTGAGCTTGGGCACATAAGATGGGGAGTATTTATATTGATAGTTAAGAGGAGTCGAGACGTACGATGAGATCACGTATCCGAGTCACTTATTCCCCTCTTCCGATCAGTAGACGAAAGCCGTCCATTTCCGCGGGATAGGACGGATAGACGATTGATCCAATCATCTTACACCTAAGGGAGTGTGGGACTCGTCGGAGAGGAAAGAGGGTTGAGCATGCGCTAATGTCTAAGCTCCCGGCAATAAGGCGGCCAAAATCCCAACGCAGGGTAGGCACGTAGGGCAAGTCAAACATTGCATCCATAATGCACAGAATAATAAGGGGGGCAAGACGGAGTTGAATATTGAAATTTGCCAATGCTGGAGAGTGTTCTTGGAGAGTGTTGTTTTATTATTCGCGCTGAATTAAGATTCAAACAGTAGGGCAACTGGAACGCTGCGTGGGTATAGTATTATGATTCCTCCTCAAAGACGTCGTATGCCGTCTACCGTATCCGTAAACCTGAAGCTGGTGTATCAAGTATGTTTTTTCATGTTCAACCGCAGCAGACGGTGGCCTCGCTGGCAGCAGAGGTGGGACCATCGTAGATGGTCTCCCATTGGAACAGGAAGGCACCGATGTAGGAACCGATGAAGATGCAGATGATGAGGTAACCGTTGTAGTACATGGCAAGACTAAGGACAATATTAGCGCCATTCTTTGAGGTGAAGGCAACGCCAAGGCAACGTACAGCATGACAAAGTAAGCGACGGCGAATTGGCACATGTGGATGAGTGCGCGGACGGCTTGCTGCAGGACGTTGGGGCGGAAGGGCGGGACGACGTTTGCGGCGATAGCGGCGGCGGAGCCGGAAGGGCCCTTGCCGTGGTCGTCGGCGCTAGCGGAGCTCGGAGAGACGGCACCGGCGTTGGCGTATCGCTGCTTGTGGGTCTTGATGAGGTATCTGTCGTACTCCTTGGTGGCACGGCGGAGAGCCTCAAGAACCATGACCAGGAGGATAACCCCGATACATGAGCCGGCAAACATGCCGTTGGAGGTAATCTTCCCTGTATGGGTGTTAGTGGTTTGGCATCGTCGTTGGTCCAGGTAGAGAGTTCGTACATTGGCTGCTGATGAAGCAGCTGTCAATGACGTTCCAGTTCCACAACATCTATGAAGCGGTTAGTAGGCGCCATGGATAGCAGAGACAGATGGTGATGACCATGACGTACAGAGATCTTGCAGCCAGTACTGCTTCCCATGCCAGACATGGCGGCCTTGGTACTGGTGGTAGCAGCCATGCTCATGGTGCCAGTGGCAGCCATGGCAGTGGTGGTGGTGGCCATTGACATGCCGTCCATCTTGTCGGTTGGTTCGTAGATGCTGCTGAAGACAATTTGTGGTGTATGAATCGTAAGGATGGTACCTAGTACTAATGTCGTGATACTCTTAGACGACGATCGATCGAAGGAGCAGGGGCCCGGAAGATGTTAGAGTATCGGTAGAGCGAAGCTGGAGAAGAAAAGACGGAATAGAGTTTGAGCAATGGGGATATGTCTCGACATTGTTATATAAAGGCAGGGCCAGCAGGGAATCCAATCGATCTTCTCACTTCTTTGCCGCGAAGGGAAGAACGACCTTTGCCAAGAGACCCACTTTGCGCTAGATTTCCATGGGATAGAGCGAGTTACAAGGACCAGTTTGCGCTAGATTCCTTCCCGAGAGACAAACAAGGGTCCAGAAGTAAGATTCGGTGGGCTGGTGGGCAGAGGAGACACGATGCCCGTAGACATCGTAGTACGGAATACTACGGATTGAGTGGGAGAGAGCGTATGTCGTTCCGGTTGGATTGCGGCGACTGGGTGGTTGAGGGGCATCGGTGTAAATGCAGCGACGAGGATGTGTCGATGATTATCTGATGAGGTTCCACTTGACGACGTCCTTTACTTGAACTCTAAGGCACGCACCATTCTTGTATCCGTACCGGGCAGGCCCTGTCTTTCCGGGGACATAAACATAAGGCGAGGTACGGCCTCCCGTTCTTGCCTGCAGTGCCAAAGAAAGAATCTGATTCTTCATGTTCAGTGTTCGCGCTTGCCGTGCGGCCTGTGTTACATAAGGTACATCGAGGTACGTACAGCAGGACATGATGTTGGAAGGAAGCAGCCAACGAGGTCGCTGTTGGAGTGACCTGCCTTATCGTATGTTCAGGAAGGCGCATGTAAGAAAATCGCACGGGGAAACCGGGGGGCAAATCTGCTCTCTTGCCTGCTCTTTCTTGCTCTGTTTCCTGCCTCTCCTGCTGCCAAGACTGCGCTATCGCTTCCTGCCTCAAGCAGCCTGAGAGTTTTTGAGCAAGTTTAAGCCCAATTGCAACCTCGAAGTGCCCCAGTCTGCTTCCCAAATTCCTGCACGACACATGTCCCGACTCCAAGTCTCAATTCTTGCTATTCGATTCTCCATGTTCAACGCATCGTGTGTTCCCTCTCACTCATAAGGTGATATCTTGCTCTTGTACAGTACAGGCTACAGGCTACACAGGTACCGACTTCCTTTGGTCCCTCTGGCAAAGTAACAATAGGCAGGTTACATTCGGCCACTGCATCGCAGATGCACCCCGAGGCTCAAAATACCAAGCTAACCCAGCAGTGCAGACTACAGATTGACAGAGCAACAACCCCGTTCCGGACTCACAGAGAGGCAGGCAATGGGGCACTATAATCTGTACTGGCATTGTTGCTGATGGCCTGCATCTTATGAGTCCAGCCCTGTCCCCCGTCGGGCTAATCGTCGAAAACGAGAAGGTCGCACATCCCAACGCCGGCTTATGGGGTACCTGTCCCAGGCTTCACAGGAATGACGGTGAAGTCTGAACCATCTCTCCAGACGCCCTGTACGCCCGCCACCAGCCGCGTCTCGTACGTACGACCATCAGCGAGTCCAACCTCACCAGATACGGTCACTGTACTTTCCCTTGTGTTGCGGGGCCAGACTGCGACTTGGGACGATTCTCCCCAATTAGAAAGTCGAGACTTTTGGCCGCTGCCCCCAAGGCCACTCTCAGTCAATACCATGCGATGTGGTGGAATCGGCCAAGCAAAAGTGGTCGACGCCCCCGACTAGCCGTGCGCTTTTCTGAGAACATTTGCGAAAGATTGTCGATTCTAGCCTCCCGATTCCCGACGCCGATGCAATCCCTTCATGTATTGTTACCTCGCCTGAGCATTGAGCAAGCAGCTAACTAACGTACGAAGCTGTGGCCTGCGATAATTCCAACCGATCCAACCAGACACACTCGGATCCCACATCCGACTTGTGGTTGTGAAGCGCCAAAAGAGCCCCAAATTCGATTTCGCCGTCCATTGGGCCACAACAGGAGGGTTCCGCCGCCCCGGCGCCGTGCGTGTGCTTCTGCAATATCGGCCTGCCGTTGGGGTTGCGTCGCATTGCAGCTCGCCTCGCCTCTCTAAATTGCTCGCTACAACCCGCTCGCTGCTTGTTGGCCGCCTCATCACCAACCACATCGTGTTCGCTTCTTGGCCTACTTGCTGCTTTCACTGCATGTCTCTGTCTGGATTCCCAAGAAAAGAATATCGGTCAAGAGACCAGAGGCTTCAGAGCTGCGACCGCAAAGCCAAGACCGGATAGATGAGGCTACCAGGGAAGCCTGCTGCAAAATCAACTCTAGCGTCTGGCTCGCAATCTCCGCCATGCTCTAGCTTCGCTTTCCCGCCTCTTCAGACTGCGGCTCCCATGCCTCGATTCTTCCCGCCGATCTCACAGCTTGTTGCCGACGAATGACGCTGTCGCCGAACACCTCCCCGCTCAACTTTATTTGCGGCACACTTGGACCTGGGCCCTGGCATCGAGGTGGGCGGCGGATTTCAGCGACCATCCAGTAATTTAAGCATCGAAGCTAGCTTTTCTGCCCACCATGAGCATTGTTTTACACGTACAGATACACAGGCTCCAAACTCCCCCAAAACGCCAGTCTTTCGTCCCAGCAAGCCACAGAAGTTCCGCTTCCATCCCAAACAATTTCCATCACAGTTCAGCTTTGGTCTTGTCCTCGGTCTTGGACTCGAGCGCGTACAATTCCCTCGGCTGGCCTGCCGCGTCGCAGCTGGCAAACTTCCACCACCCCCAGTGCCAAGCACCAGCGATATTGATCAATCCCCACTTGATCGGCGCCGGCATGGGCGGCCAGTTCGCCCACAACCCGTCTTCCGTTGTCCGGTCCAGGTTCAGCAGGAAGAACGGCACTACGTCCGCCGTGCCCGCCTTGGTGACGGTGCTCTTGCCCCACGTCTTGAACGTCAGACTCGCGTTGGCCGCCTCCGGCGTTCCCTCCTTGGGCGCGTTCGGGTGCTCCGACATGCCGGCGATGGTGGTGATCTCGCTATGGAAGTGGTTCTCGAATGGTTCTTGGAAGCTCTTCATGATTTCGAGCAACTTGTCGCCAGAGAAGTCGGCCGGCGAGGAGAGGGAGGTAAGGTACTTGTTGAACTCGGCGAGGCCGCCCAGGAATGATTCTGTTCATATTTCGGTCAGTTGACCATCGCGAATCGGTGTCGTGGATGTCAGGTACGTACCATGCTCCTTATGCGTCTCGGCAAAGACATTCTTGTCCTCCAGGAGGTCCTCGACCTTGGTGAAGAGCGACTCCTCCTCGTCATCGTGGTGCGACTTGACAAATTTGAACCAGGTCTGGGAGTATCCGATAAAGTCTGCCTTGTCTGCTTCCTGAACGTAGGGCGCTTGTTGGTAAATGGAGTTGTAACCTCGCAGGATCGAGTTGTGCAGCAGGGCCATGTGCGTTGAGCCCAGCGTGAAGAGGTCGGTCTATTGGACTGTTAGCTGAAGCTTCCTCCAATTGGGCCCGATCTCCATTGATTCCGACCCAAGCGAGCTACGAACCTTTTTGGTTGCATATTGCGGCGTGGTGATGAGCTTCATGGGCCCGTCGGCCCAAGGCTTGGTAGTCTGCGGTGTCGTGGTCATCATGAATGGTGCTCTGGAAGCTAGCAAGCTGATGAGGATGCTTGGAATCACAAGCAAGAGATATCCGGCCATTTTGAAAGAATACGGCGGAGCCTAGCGAGAGCGAATGGCGCAACTGATATACAAATCAGGGTGGAAAGTGGTACGATTCACTGACGTGCCTTTGCCGCCTGTTGAGGGAATCGAGGATCGGGGTTGCGTGACCAAAGGGACAGCCAGCAGCAGCACGGCGCAGCTTTGTATTGGACGTCAGCTCGGGGCCGAGAAAAGGGAAGCTTGTCCAACGTTTCCGAGAGTTTCTGGAGCTTCCGGGTCTCTGGAGCGTGGGGTGAAGGAAGAAGAATGAGAGGTTGGCTGATTAAAAGGCAGCTTGCCATTGGCCCGTGCCAGGGGAGAGCGCTGGGAACCTGGGGTGATGTGCAGGGAGCTCTGGTGCGGTTTCACCTGGGGAGCTCCCGCTAATGCCGCTGTGGGATCATGGCGGTGGCTGCCGACGGGATGGGGTCACCGAGGCGGTTCCTGGATTGGGTAATCGGGACCCTTGGGAGACGGGGGAATGAGACGTCGAGCCGGGGCTTCGGACCTTGGTGACCTGCCGATGTCCGAACATGTTGGGTATGACGGGAAGAGTGGAGTGTGGAGAGCCTGGCACGCCTGGACGAGCAGGCATGGCGGAGTCGATTGGCTCGGCTGCTGGTGATTCGACAGCCAGGTTTATGATGGAAGCTAGCTTGGAGTCTTCTCGAAACATGCGCTCAAGCTGAAGTCTGCTCCCAGTCATTGGAATGTCACTAGGAGCTTTGGGTTGAACCGAAGTCTGGGGATCATGTCATCTCCCAGGAAGAGTAAGGTAAGGTAAGGGTAGTGAAGTAGATGCCGGCGAAGATGACGTTGAGATGCACAATGAGCATGACACATATGGCTATGAGCTTTTCAAAAATATGTGACCTTCAATCGCGCCAGTAAATGCGAATGCAATGTTGCAGTTTCTCAGAGGTTCAGATACGAAGGGGACACTCCAACCGCAGGCTTGTCGCTCATGATCCGCGGGGTCGGCCAACGTCAAGGCAATAGGCAGCGCAATCGGGCCTTGGCGGTCATTACACTCTGATGGCTATACGATAGAAGGGGCCTTTTTCATCTGCCCTTCTCGAAAAAGAAATGAAACGATTAAGGTCATCTTATTTTCTGGAAGTTCAATTGCCAAAGTACTTTTCATAGTCGGAAACAAAGCGGTGAAGACAACTCACCGTGCGGGGTTCCAGGCAGGCGCTCGGTTTGCGTACACCCGACGCCGTGCCTTCCTCTGGCGTGTAAGTGAAGGGCGTTTGTCTCCACGCCTTAGCATCGACATCACAACTTCATCATTCATCAAATCAACTTATCATCCAGCTCGGACCATCTAGACTTCATCATCAGAACAAGTCACAGATTAACTCATCAGCACCAAATCGATCCCCAATAATACCAACCACACACCCGCCAACATGCCCACAGAAGGAGTCTACTACACCCCCAACGGCAAAAAAACCGTCATTCCCCTCGAAAACAACCCTGATGTCTTCACCTCCCTCATCCACGACCTAGGCATCTCCCCCAAACTAGGCTTCTTCGACGTCTACAGCCTCGACGAGCCCTCCCTCCTCTCCCTCGTGCCCCGCCCCGCGCTCGCGCTGATTTTCATCTCCCCGGCGCCAATGTACTACGCCGTCCGTTCCGCCGACGGCACGAAGCTCGCAAAGGAAGACGGGGTGACGTATGCTGGATCTGGGCCGGAGGAGCCTGTGATTTGGTTTCGGCAGACGATTGGGAATGCGTGTGGGTTGTATGCTCTCATTCACGCTGTGGGTAACGGGCCTGCGAGGGAGTTTGTGCAGGAGGGCTCGTTGATTGAGAGTTTGCTCAAAGAGGCGGAGCCGTTGAATTGGGAGGAGCGGGCTGATGTGCTGTATAATAGCATCCCGCTTGAGGAGGCGCATATGGAGGCTGCGAGGAGGGGAGATACGGCGGCGCCGCCTGCGGAGGAGAAGCCTGGGTACCATTTCATTGCCTTTGTGAAGGGGAAGGATGGGCATTTGTGGGAGTTGGAGGGCGGGTCGGATGGGCCTGTTGATCGGGGGTTGTTGGAGGAGGGGGAGGATATGTTGAGTGAGGGGGCGCTGGAGAGGGGGGTGAAGAGGTTTATTGGGTTTGCGGATGGGAATTTGGAGTTCAGTATTGTTGCTTTGGCGAAGAAAGAGGAGTGAGGTTTTTGGTGTTGGGGATTGAACTGTGTGATGTGTGATGCGTGGCATGGGGATTGGCGTTATTTGCTTTAGGGAACTCTAGATTGTAGGGGGATTGGGATTCGGTATGCATAGCTCAGGGAATACATTCGTTTGCGTTGAATTGATGTAAACATCCTCTCTTGCTCTTCGTCTAGTCACTTGTATCAATGATTTTCCAGGGATGATTCCGAGACTCAGTTCTTCCTACAGACGATGCACAGCGGTTATCTATTGTGTAATATTGCTGTGCTCACCTTGCTCACCGAACTCCCCGGTCCACCTAGAGGTGTAGAGGATACACCGAGGTAAGGAAGAGCAGGTAGAGGTACGGAGGTGAGGGGTTCGGTGAGGCAGGGCGAACTCAGCCTTGAACCCCTCCATCTGCACGAGCCAGCCAACGGCCCCGCCCGTCCAATCAGCTCGCGGCGCCGCTCCAACCATCGAAAGAGCTAGAAGGGCGAGCTTGGGCTGTTTTCTTTCCCGCCTCTGCTGCCTTTGACTGCCTCACCCCACGACGAGAATTCCAAGTTCTCTTTCTCCCCAATTCCCACACCACAAATCTACCAGATACCCTGACAACACGTCTACCTTGCGATTGCATTTGAAAGTTGATTTTGAGTTGAACCATTCAAAAAGTCATCCGCACATTTCCTCAGACACACACCTACACACACATCACCATGGCTTCCGCAGACGAGCTCAAGGCTCTCGGCAACAAGGCCATTGCCGAGAAGAACTTTGACGAGGCTGTGTAAGTTTGTCTCTACTTCCACCCGACCTCCACAGAACTGACAGATTCTCAGCGCCAAGTTCACCGAGGCCATTGAGATCCAGCCCGACAACCACATCCTCTACAGCAACCGCTCCGCAGCCTACGCCTCCAAGAAGGACTGGCAAAACGCCCTGAACGATGCCAAGAAGACCACCGAGATCAAGCCCGACTGGCCCAAGGGATGGGGCCGCCTGGGAACAGCGCAGTACGGTCTGGGTGACCTCCTCGCCGCCAACGATGCGTACGAGGAGGGCCTCAAGGTCGACCCTAACAATGCCGGTCTGAAGAAGGATCTCGCTGCCGTCCAGAAGGCGATGAAGTCGGAGGCTGGTGGTGGTACGTGAAAGACTTCAACAAAGAAACAAAAGGACTATACTGACTGTCTACCAACAGACGCTGGTGACCCGATGGGTGGCCTCGGCAACATGTTCAACGACCCCCAGCTTGTCCAGAAGCTCGCCGCAAACCCCAAGACGGCCGGATTCCTCGCCGACCCCGCCTTTATGGCCAAGCTCCAGCAGATGAAGGCGAACCCCTCGGCTTCACCCGATCTGTTCAGCGACCCCCGCATGCTGCAGGTCCTTGGTGTCCTGATGGGCGTCGACATGCAGATGGGTATGCCCGACAACATGCCCGAGGACGCCGAGATGCGCGATGCTCCTCCCCCTCCTCAATCGAAGCCTGCCGCGCCCAAGAAGGCCCCTACCCCCGAGCCTGAGCCCGAACCCGAAGAAGAGGACGAGGAGGCTATCGAGAAGAAGAAGGCCAAGGAGGCCGCTGACAAGGAGAAGGCTCTCGGCACCGAGAACTACAAGAAGCGCAACTTTGACGAGGCTATTGCACACTACTCCAAGGCGTGGGAGCTGCACAAGGACATCACCTACCTCAACAACCTGGGTGCCGCGTACTTCGAGAAGGGAGACTTTGACAAGGCCATCGAGACTTGCTCAAAGGCCGTCGAGGAGGGCCGTGAGATCTATGCCGACTTTAAGCTGATCGCCAAGAGCTACGCCCGTATCGGTACCGCCTACGAGAAGCAGGGCAACCTCGACCTCGCCATCGAGAACTACAAGAAGTCGCTGACTGAGCACCGCACCCCCGACGTGAACGCCAAGCTCCGCGCGGCAGAGCGCAACAAGATCGAAACTGCTCGCAGTGCCTACATCGACCCTGCCAAGGCAGAGGAGGCGCGTGAGGAGGGTAACAAGAAGTTCAAGGAGAGCGACTGGCCTGGCGCCGTGGCGTCGTACACTGAGATGACGAAGCGTGCGCCCAACGACCCCAGAGGATACAGCAACCGCGCGGCGGCCTTTATCAAGCTGCTCGAGTTCCCCAGCGCCGTCGAGGACTGCAACACTGCCATCAAGAAGGACCCGACCTTCATCCGCGGCTACATCCGCAAGGCGCAGGCCTTCCACGGCATGCGCGAGTACTCCAAGGCGGTGGATGCCTGCAGCGAGGCGTCCAAGGTCGACCTGGAGCATCACAAGGGCGCCAACGCTCGCGAGATTGAGCAGACACAGCAAAAGGCTCTCAACGCCATGTACTCTGCGCGGGAGAACGAGACGGAGGACCAGACGCGGGAGCGTTTGGCAAAGGATCCCGAGGTAAGCATCCACAACCATGCGACCGGCACAGAGCGACCGGTTCCTTCCATCCGCAACTAGCGACTAGTTTTGGCTAACTTTGTGCACTAGATCATGAGCATCATGAACGACCCCATCATGCAGTCTATCCTCCAGCAGGCACAGTCGGATCCCGCTGCTCTGAACGAGCACATGAAGAACCCCGAGATCAGATCCAAGGTGCAAAAGCTCGTAGCGGCGGGAGTTATCCGCGTCGGCCGGTAAGAAATCGGAGTAGCGTTGAGGTGAGGCAGCAGTGTGGGGAACGGGTGCGGAGGGAAGGAAAAAAGGTCACGCGTAATGGTTGGACGACGAAACGTTAAAAGGAGCTCACTAGGTCATTTGTAGTGGTTGCAATGTGACCCCAACAACAGAGATATTCCACGTGAGTGCCCTCGGATGTCTTGGAGCGTGATGAATGACTTGCCCTGCCCCGCGAAAATAAGTTACTGTAGTTTGTGAGGCCAAAGGAGGATATGAACCTATGGAATTTGTGAGACATGTCATGCCGAAATGAGTTTTGCGATGGCTTGGGGTTGTAGTGGTGTGCCAAGTGAGGCCCGTAAATGTCGACCCGTGTAAGTGTCATCCGTTGATGAGAATTGTCATTCGAAAAGACATGAGTCGGTGCCTTGGCTCATCCCATATAGATGTGCACTATTTGATACTTTCATGAGTTTGCAGATGTAAGTCTGCAGGATTTAATTTGTTTCTCTTCTTCCTGATACCCTCACTTTGCTACACCACTTACGCGTGTAGTTTCATCACAAACAATCATGGACTCACCCATGAAAGAAGGTATGTCTCAAGCCACTCATCTCACCTCATCTCAGCCTCATTATCTCAATCCAAGACTAACACCACACACAGCATACGTCCAACTTATCGAAGTCATCGCAAAAGACACCACAGACCCAGCCGGAACAGAACTCCACGTCCGCCAACTTATCGCCTCCCTCCCCTCCGTCCTCCGCGCCCGCGACGACGACCAGCGGACCGCCCTCCACCACGCCGCGCGCCTAGGCCGCACCGCCCTCCTCGTCGCCATCCTCGAAGCCAACCCGGACTCCGACGTCGACGTCCGCGATGTAGATCACTGTACGCCTTTGCACCTTGCCGCGCGGAATGGGCACGAAGGGTGTGTTGCGACGTTGGTGTGTGAAGCGGGAGCGGACGTGCGAGCCGAGGAGAGTTTTCTCGAGACGCCGCTTCATGAGGCGAGTCGGGGCGGGTATGCGCGGATCGTGACGCTGTTGATTGAGAATGGGGCGGTTGTTGATGCGCCGAATCGCGATTTGGGGACGAGTTTGCATATTGCTGCGCGACGCGGGAATGAGGAGGTGATTAGGGTGCTGCTTGAGGCTGGGGCGAATCCCGGGACGAGGGATGCTGTTGGGGATACGCCGCTTCATGATGCTGCTAGAGGTGGGCATGAGGGTGTGGTGATGATGTTGTTGGGGACCGGGTCCGTTTCTATTGAAGCGCAGAACGCGAATGATTTCACGCCGCTGAGCGTTGCTGCGCGCCATGGGCGGGAGGCGATTGTGAGGATGTTGGTGGAACAGGGTGCGGATGTCGATACCATGAGCAACGAGTACTGCACGCCTCTCCATCAAGCTGCCTCCGAGGGCCACGACGGGGTTGTGAGGATTCTCATCGCTGCGGGCGCGGATGTCGATTTACAGGATAAGGACGACCAGACGCCCCTCCACGCGGGTGTGATGTTTGAGCACGAGGCTGTCGTTGCCTCGCTGCTTGCCGCGGACGCGGATGTGGATGTGCGGGATACGGAGGACTGTACGCCGCTGCACCACGCCGTGAAGAACGAGAATAAGAGGCTTGTGAGAGATCTATTGGAGGCCGGGGCGGATCCGACTGTGATTTCCTCGACGGGGGAGACGCCGCAGAGTTTGGCCAAGTTGTTGAACCGCAACTCGATCGCAGATCTGTTCAACTCGCCACAAGTCGTGCCGAAGCAGAACGTCGGACTCGATGTCTTTGGGGTGTTTGCTGCGGCCGGTGTTGGGATGGGTGGAGGTGGTGGTGGCGGGAGAGTGAAGAAGACTCGCCCGCCGTCGAAGCCGAATCAGGAGGCGGAGATTGAGGCGTGTAAGCACTTTAAGGGCTTATTCTGGTGTCCTTCCTCGGATTGCAGCTTTGAGAGTCTGAGCGTGTGGGATCTGTTGTATGATTCTGAGACGGAGGTCAAGTTGTGTCCGAGGCCGCCTCCGCCTCCGATGACACTGCCGATGCCGGTGGCGTTGCCGGCGTTGTCTCCACACTCGGCCGAGACGCCGGTCCGAAGCCCCGTTGGATCACCTACACGAAGCCCCGCGCGATCGAGAGCCCATTCGAGGGCGCAGAGTCCCGCGGGGAGTCCGAAGCTCTCGCCTCTCCAAACACCATCTCACTCGCCGCCGCATTCTCCTCTGCTTCAACCTCCTGGGAGCCCTGGGTTGAACATGAGGGAAATGAGGAAGCACGTCAGCCAGCAGCGCCGCAAGAGTTCGCATACAACCGGTGGTGGTGGTGGTGGTGGTGGTGGTGGTGGTGGTTCATGCACCACTAACACCCACAAGGAAGACCACAGACCTATCAAGCGGTGGTTCCATCTTCCTGCCAACAACGTTGCGTGGGTGATGGACCTCGTGCAGCGGATTTGCGCCGTGGACGGGCGGCCGGACGCGGAGTGCAACCGGATGATCGCGTTCATCGAGGAGACGTTTCAGGAGATTCGGATTAGTGCCCCGTATCGGAAGCCGCATTTTCGGATGGAGGCTGCTACTGCTGCTGCTGCTGCCGGGGCCGCGACGGATGGGAGTGGTGGGACTGGGATGCCGGAGGTGAGTCTTGGATCGGAGGTGCCAACCGGGCCGGTAGCAGCAGCAGCGTCGTCGAGATCGCAAATGTTCTCTCTGGTACTTCCCGTCATCGATGTCGATATCGACGAGGGCACGAAGAGGAGTCTCCAGGATGTACACATTGGCGATGAAGCCAAGGTCTTCCGGCCGATGGAACTGGTCGGCGGCGGCGCGATAGCCGTACCGGCTGCAGGAGCAGGGAATGATAGGAGAGCGCCGCCCGTCCAGAGACCGCACCCTCTCAGCGCGATGCCGACGAATCTGCAGCATTACCTCTTCCCTCACCTAGCGCACTTTGACGCCATGGCTAAGATGCGGGCGACGTTTACGAAATCTGAGCTGCATGTCCCGAGATCGCTGGATCAGTCGTACCACGAGAGTCTTAGCGCGAGCGATCTTGCGTTGCGAAACGAAAGCCAGGTGTTATTCCGCTATCTTCGACGCGTGGAGGGCCGCTTAGCTGCTTCTGCGGCGTCCGCGGGGGGAACGACTACAACTGGAACTACGGCAGCCGGCTCGTCGACCGCAGGTGACACCATCGCGGAGGATGTGCTAGGGAAGCAACCTCTAACCGAAGACGGCATCGCGTCTACGAGGGTGCATCAGCAGCAGCAAAAGACGCAGCATCAACAGAACCCATTTGATCGGCACGCGCAGAGGGCGTATTCGAGACAGAGCAGCTCCAAGCAGAAGAAGACGGACGGGACGAAAGCGGAGTTGGGGAGGATGGCGGGGAGGCAGGATCAGGCGAGTAGTGTGCAGGCCAAGATTTCGCGGGAGAAGAGGAGGATGGATACGGAGAGGAGGAAGCAGATTTTGGTTGTTGCGCAGCTTTGGGTTTGGAGGATTGATGAGCGTGAGTCTTTTAGTTGTCTCGTGACACAGAGAAAGAGAAGAGGTTGAGCTGACGGTACGCTACAGACACCATCATCACCGCGTTCCCTGATCGGTGGGATAACAAGAACGCCAAGACGCTGCTGAATCAGATTAAGCACCGCGTGCTGGGGACCAGAGACATGAGGTCTGAGAACACGGACATGATGCGCGTTGTGGAGAGTATCCTTGAGAGCGCGGTTGAATATAGCGAGGAAGAGTTTCACTTCCAGTTCGAAGGGCCGCGGAGCTACTGCAACATCTTTGCGGCGTCCATCGCTCACGTTGTAAGTTTCGCTATCTGTTTTTGGCGAGGTTCATAATACTGTGCTTGGGAACAGAGGGGTGGACTTGACAAGAGCTGACACCAATACCCAAAACCAGTCCAACGAAGCAATGAAGCGCTACGCCAACTTCAAAGCCTCCATCAGCAAAATGGGCACCTCAAAAACGGTCCTCGATGACCTCCGCGCCGAGATTGAGCTCCTGCAGGAGATTGATGACGTGCGCGAGGAGATCAACATGATCAAGCGGGTTCTCCGGTCGCAGGAGCGGGTCTTTGACGGATTCCGCGAGGCGGAGGCGGAGCGGGTTGGGAGTTTATGCGGCGGGGTCGGAGTCGGGGAGAAGCAGGGTGGTATTGTTAAGCCGTATAAGCACCCGACGTTGGACTTCTTCAAGAGGTTGGAGGAGGACGCGAATCGGGTCCGGGATTCGGTGAGTACTAGTTTCCGTGTGAAGGTGTCTGGATGACTGCATCTGGGGAGCGTTTGGTATTGGGTACGTGTGGCTGACTGGGCGGTAGATTACGACTTTACTGGATTTGAGACAGAGAGAGGCGAATATCGAGGAGGCGCTATCTGCGAGCGAGCAGTCGAAGATTCTCTTCATCTTTACCGGAGCGACGGTTGTCTTTGTAAGCTGATGCCCCATCTTACCTATGTACAGCAAGGGATAGCGATGCTGACTCTTACAGGCCCCATTATCTTGGGCAACAGGTGCGTAGCTTGGAGATCACCTCTAGCAAGTTCTGTTCAGAAAAGATAGAAAGAGACTGACTACTTGGAACAGGCATCTTTGACATCTCCATCGAGGGCGTACCATCACCGATCAGCCCTGGGACCCTCATCCTCACATGTGGTAGGTCCCCTTGGCCACAAACCCCCCTTCACTCCAACGTCTAACTTACACAACCCCAGTCCTAAGTCTAGTCGCCACCCTCCTCCTCATCGCCCTCTCTCTCCAAATCTACGAATTTGTCACCACAGGTAAAGCAAAGCACCTCTATCGGCGCGTCTCCAACTTCTTCGAGGTCCGCAAGCTGGAGAAGTTGGCGGCCGCGAACCAGAGCAAGTCGCCGCCCTCGTCGTTAGGGGCATCAACGCAGCTGAGCAGGCTGAGGAGGTCCTCCCTCTCGCAGCCTGTTGCTAGCACGACAGCGAATGAGAAGAAGAAGTTGCAGAGTGTGAGGAGGCGGCTTGCTGCGTTGAGGACGAGGGGAAGGGGGTTAGGGCGGGATCGGGATGAGGAAAGGGAGGTTACTGGGAAGCAGGTTTGATGATGGGATGGATAGATGGGGCAAATTTCTTTCAGAATCGGCATAGAGAAGTGCTATTAACTGTGTGTGGTAAACTAGCTTTTCTGGTAACTAAACCTTGAGTACGTTTGATGAAGCGGGTTTGTTATTGTTACAATCTTGTCTGAACAGAGCGCGAATTCATCAGGTGTGCCGTGCCGCAGGCGTGGAGGAGGCCCATGAGCCGCATCCGCGTATACGGCATCTCACTCAGGGGGCATTAGGTTTGGCTTCATAAATCGAGCTACTGTTTCAGTATTTGTGTCCAGTCTGCTCCTTAGGTGGCACCACTATCATTTTACCCGCGGTTTAGTCTCTTTGGTCTTGCGAGGGATGTCGTCACGAAACTTGTCATAACAAAGAACTTCAGTAAGAACCAGCCTTCTTTACAACCACTACGCATCTCTTTCCGCTATCGGGCTACCATTTCATACTAGGTGGCACCTCTCGCTGATACCAAGCGATCGTGAAGTGTGAAGTCCCCTGAACATGGCCAGCCTTATACTTCAGGGGAATCACGGGTGTGAGTCTCAAAGACACCACCTTTTTCGCACCCTTGGCAGCTTCATCAAGTTACGTAGGAGGAAGCATACAGCTTGGTAATTATGCTTGCTTGCTAAGCTGATGCAGTACTAAGTATTAATTACTTCAGGCATGTAGACCAACAAAACAACAGGGGTGACTCCAGTCTTCCACATCCACGGTAGGTAGATCTGTGCATACCAAATTACATCGGCACGATCGGCTCGGTCAAACGCCTTGAGCTCGGCCGAGACAATCTGAAGCCGTCAATTAAAAGTCTAGATGCTGTTTACGATCCTCGGCCTCCTTGGTCTTCCTCGCTCCTACGGATTTCAATGAAAGCGAATGAAACTCTAGACAACCTCTTCTTAAAGGCTAAAAGGTTTTAATGACTTCATCGCTTGGGAAGAGAAATTAGGTGCCGAGTTTATTAGATTGTCTAATAAAACGTTCCCTAGGTGCAAATCGTAGATTCTTACCGGCTCGTCTGCTGACCACAGCATTTGACGATGCATTGCGACAAATAAGGGACGACATTATATTTCTATTACCCGAGTGTCTTCCATACCATTGGAATGGAATACCTACATCCCGTAGTGTCGATACCCTAGGACTCTCTTCAGGTGAAAGGGAGTCAGCGACCAAGGTTAGTAGTGCCCATTTGTGGGTTCCAGTTTGTTGCTGATTTCTAGAAGTGTGAGAGCGCACATGTGAATAGATTCATAAGCCAATTGCCTACCGGCACAAAGTCGACCCGTCTGCGGTCAGCACACATCATCAAAAACAGGCGCAGCACACGGACACATTGTTACAGTTGGTTTTGGACAACTGTCCGCTACCTTACTCAAGACTTCACGGGCGAAGCAGATATCAGGAGAAAGTGGCAGCTTGGAGGTCAGAACCGGACTTTAACAAAAACTCCGATCGACGCTACGGCTAACCTAGTTGCATACACTTGCATACAGATAGGTCGACACTAGGACCGTCATATTACCGCTTCCGGCACGCAATTCGGGCGTACATCCCTCCCACTGCACAGCCCTACCGGTGCAGGGATCGGACTTTTGCCAAGATCTCTGAAAACTCCGGTCGCTGACTTGGACAACCTCCAGTCCATCGCACACACGGCATCAGACGAAGGACGAGGACATGGCGAACAAGCCTCCCCCCAATGATCAATCCAAGACTTGCTGAGCCTCTACGCTTTACGGAACGCGAATACCCAACACTCCTCCAGTCACATTTCAACGGACATGATTTCCTCTTATTAAATAAACCTCCGAGAATTGGTCTCCATCGTTTCCCCTCCCTCCAACAGCCGTACCACTTACGACCAAGACAGAATCTTTGAACGGGGAGAACAGCATCGTTCCGGCGGAGAAGTCAGAGAATCTCCAATATCCGCTCTTTTCTTTAGGAGTATTCACAAAGGCCTTTCTCGGCTCCGGGTCCGGTTTACAGTCTATCGGTAACCATGTCTGCCGCTTCGTCTCCCACTCGATCGACGAAAAGTCCTCCGCCGGAGACCACCCGCGTCCCTTCTGTAGCCAAATGGGGCGCCGCCTGCGCGCCTTGTGCAACGGCAAAAGCAAAGTGTCTTCGATCCAATACGACGCCCGGGTCAAAGTGTGATAGGTACGTTTGCGAGGCACAGCGTTCTTTATGCAGCCATCCCGTCCATGATCTCCCGGGTTCGTTACGCCTGCATAGGAGAGCCGGGGATTCCTTAAGATCTCCGGGCCCGGGGGCGGATCTAGACATTGTTCGTTCCACGGGAATGGCGTGTGGTGTGGTGGCTACCGTGGCTCCATTGCAACCCGCCATGTCTTTGATGGCCCAATGGCGGGAGCGGGAGAAGGACCCTAGGCAGCGCTTGGTGTCATCTTTGACTAACGGTTGAGTTGTTGCGTGATAGATGTGAGCGACTCTTCAAGCATTGTTCGGTTCAGATACACAGGCCAAGGAAGAAGAGGCAGAGCAGGCCATCGTAAGTCACATTCCTCAATCTCGGACCAGCGTTCAGTCAAGGATGCTGGGTGGTTGCTGTCCAATACGACAAGCCAACACTAAGCCCTATACAAATGGGGTTGTGGGATACCGAAGATCCTCAGTATCACTCATTCGGGCGAATCACTAAGACTAGTAATCGCAGGAAAACAACACAGCTTGAAGAGCGTCTCAACCGCCTGGTCAACACCCTACGAGTATCAGGAAGCGTGTCCACCCTCCCAAGTGGCCCATCCACCGGCCAGCCAGTGTTGCCTGGCCCATCAAGACACTCATACCCAATCTCTAACCCGCCAGTCTCCCTACTCTCAGGACAACCAATACCAGCGGACTTCTACTCCCAAAGCCGCGTCTCCCCTTGGGACGTCGAAGACCTCTCCGACATCAGACCCATCAACATCCCCGAGACCTACAACTCCTTCGTGCCCCCGACATGCATATGCAAGCCCGAGCCGGGGGAAGCTCCGCCGCCTCCCGACACGGACGAGAACCTCCTCAAGATCTATCGCACCAAGCTGGCGCCGTGCTTCCCGTTCGTGCTGGTGCCGGATGATGTTTCCGCCACCACTCTCGGCGCCACAAGGCCGTTCCTGATGGCTGCTATCCGCATGGTCTCGTCGTACCGGAGCATGAAGTCGATGAGGGGGCAAATGTATCGTCTCTTGAATCACGTTGCTGACCATATGCTTCTGAGATCAGAGAGGTCGTTTGATTTGCTGCTTGGGTTGGTGGTGATGCTGGGCTGGTTTCATCAGCACTGCATCGCTCATGCTCAGCTTAATCAGCTTGTCTCGCTGGCTACGTGCCTTGTTGGCGAGCTGGGGCTGAAGAGGAGCCCTTGTTTGCCGGAGCGGACGAGGTTGTTGGTTATGCGGCCTTGGGAGTTGAGGGAACGCACAAATGAGGAGCGGAGATTACTGTTGGCGGTGTGGTATCTAAGTTCTTGGTAAGTCTCTATTCTTTGAGACGAAGGTCAGACAAATAGCTCGTTAACACTCTGTTCTAGCATCTCAATGGATATTCACCAGATTGACTCCATGAGATATTCAGGTTACATGCAACAATGTTTGCGAGAACTTGAAGAGGACGTGGAATATGAGTCAGACATACACCTCGGATATATCGTTCGAATACAAAGACTCTGCGAAAGGATCTCGGATCTGAGGTCGAAAGACTATCTCGACGAAGAAGGGGACGAGAGTACCCGGGCACCTCTCTCAGCCTACGTCTCTGGGTTCAGAGCGGAGTGGAACAAACTCCAAACCAGCATGCCACCTACCTTGAAGAACAATGGTCAGTACAGTCTATAACGAGTCACAAGTCTGAGCAACAACTGATAGACCGTAGCATACCTCCAAGTAAGGATGGCCACCCTCCGCCTTCGCATCCACGAACCCCCCAGGATCGACGCCGAACTTCTCGCCTCCCTCTCCAAATCCCTCGACTCCATCAGCGCAGGCTCAACATCCGCTCTCGACGCATTCTACCAATCCAACGCAGCCCTCAAAGCCTGGTTCGAAACCTGGCTCTCCGTGCCTCAAGAATTCTTCTACTGCATCCCCATCTCGATAGCCTCGCACATGGTCTACGCCGTCATGATGATGAGCCGCTGGTCCTGGCTTACAACAAGAGGCAAGACACCGCCCGAGCCGCAGACGGATCCTACAGACCCGTCAGAAGACAACCCGAACGTCGCGCTCGCGGCTATGGAAGCTGCCATCAGCCCCAACACACCCGCTTCCACATCGACCCCATCGGCTGAGACCAAGGGGTCTTCGCCGTGGCAGACGACGTTGCCTGATAAGGATCTTCCTCAGGTGCTGGCTGCGCTCAAGGCGCGGCTTTCCACGCAGCCTGATCTGATGCTGGATGTAGAGGGGTACCTCAACCGGATCGTTGCCCAGCTGCAGACCATTGACGCGCTGTACTCTGAAATGTCCGTTGACGAGGGCGAGTGGCGCGGCAACATCTGGAGTCTGGGTGCGACAAAAGTCAAGATTGCGATGCTCAGGCAGCAGAGATGGTCCAAGGTTATTGCTTCGCAGGCGGAGGAGCGAGAGCTGGAGATCCAGGGCGCGGGAGGGGAGCAGCTTGGGCTAGGGGAGATTGAGATGCAGGAGAATTTCCTTGCATCGTTGCAGATGCCTGAGTGGGATGCGAGTATGGTCTGGGATCCGCACACGTATTATGATCCCATGCCTCAGGACCCGGCGCTTTGGAGTGACGTTGTTCCTGGGGATCAGGACTGGGGAACGGGTGCGAATGGGATGGGAGGGATGGGGTCGCTGGGACACATGCCGGAGGGAAGATATATGTAACTTGTGTAGCTTGTAAGATAGAGATGTGAGAGTAACTGTCTAGATTCCAGCGAAGCTCATTGTTTCGTCAAATCTGGCATCGTGTCCAATCAGTCAACTAAGGTGCCAAAGACGATGTTGTGGATAAAAGGGCTCCATCAGGGTATGTGGATCTGAAGACCTACATATTCTGTCAACTGGCGTCGAAAGGTCATCTGGCGTTGTGGCAGAGTGGTCTAATGCGCAAGACTAGAAATCTTGTTCCTTCGGGAGCGTCTGTTCGAATCAGGCCAACGTCGTTCTTTTGCTTTTGTACTGAATGTCGTCCTGATCTTTAGCATTTTTGTGAATATGGTGACTTTTGTTGTTGTTTTCATTGTCAAGTGATTTTCTGGAAAGCTATTGAGTTGAACTCTAAAAACTCGCTGTTGGTTGTTACCCCAAAACTTTCCGCTCCATAGCCCATCCCTGTCCCCATCCAAAGTGGCTGCTTCTAAGGTTGTCACAATTTGAAAATTCGAATCTCATCTTATCGGAGAATGGCCAGAGAGTGAGCCATTCTCTCAATTTTATATTCGGTTCTAAATTACTAGCGGCAAGTCTGGTCTCTACGGCCTGACTAGATGGGCGACCGTTGACGAGAGCCTTTCAACTCTCATTCTCACCTAAGGGGTAGAACATAATGTTCACAAATTGCGGATAAGACGGCAACTAGTTTCACACTCCCTGAGTCCCCAAGGACCGAACCAACAGAGCTCTTGAACAAACACAACAATTTGTTTAGTCTACTTGATTACGCGTCAAATGTCTACGGCGCAGCGGGGGCAGCTCCCGAAGAACCCTGCCAACTCTTGCCCAATAACCCACCACTGCCGCCCTTCTTCTTTTCCTCCTCTTCCATCTTCAACACCAACTCCCCAAACAACCCATTCGCCCACCCGAACCACGCACGCGTCCAGTCGTTGTCGTTCCAGCTGTTGACGCTCTCGTGCAAAACGCCAGAGCCGGCCGTCGAATCCAGCACCATCCGCAACTGTTCCTCGACATCCTTCTCCGGGTCCTTGCTACCAGAGATGGGATCGTATGCAGTAATCGCAGCAATTACAGCCGCCATGGGCCACGCTTTGCCCGGCCCAACGTGTGGCCCGCCAACAGCGGAGATGATGGGGCCCTTCATGTAGTACGAGTTCGCGTCGCTGAGAACGTACTTGCGCGTGTTGCGGTAGACCTCGGTGTAGTCGTGCAGCTTCTCGCCCTTTGGCGGGTCGGGGTACTTGAACTTGGAGTGCGTAAAGTTCCAGAGCGGCATAGCCAGGAGAGACGGCACATTGGCGTCGTCCATCAGGTTCGCGCCACCGTAGCCGTCCACCTCATACGCGAAAATGTCACCGAACCCAGGCCGGTGCACAATGGCATCCTTTTCGATACCCTGCCGGATCCCAAAGGCCTGCGCGCGCATCTCAAGTGTGAGGTTCTTGGCCTTTTCGCCGTCCAGCTTAGCCATGATCTCAGACGCCGACTCGAGGTACTTTGCCCACATCATGTTGGCCGGTACCAAGAACTGGAAGATACAGGCGTCGTCCGAAGGGCGGAACGCAGTGCGAATCATGCCGTTCTCCTTGATCGGGTTCCCCAGTCCATCGTTGGTCAGCGTCTCGCTACCGCGGTTCGTCCACCCCGTAAACGTCCACGCCGACTTTTCCACCTTTCCCTCGGGCGAGTAGGTGCCCAGCCGCATCGCGCCCGCGGCGTTGACGGCAGCCTCTACGGCGTCGATCCAGTGGTACTTATTGAAGTGCTGCCAATCGCCCGTCTTCTCCGCGTACGAGACGGACATTTTCAGAAACGAAGCCAGCGAGTCAAGCTCCCACTTACAGTCAAACACCTTCTCCGGGTCGTACGCCGGCATGGGATGGTTGTGTACGTACGCGCCGTTGTGCGTCGGCGGGATACCGCTCTCGGGCGGCGGCTGGAAGCTATGGCAGTACGGCGAGATGATGATGTAGCGCGAGTGAGCGTTGATGAGGCCGCGCCAGAGGCTGGCGAGGGAGTTTGGGTCCCGCGAGGCCTCGAGCAGGGGCAGGTAAGGGCTAATCTGCTCAGCCGAGTCGCGCAGCCAGAGGGCGTCAATGTCGCCGGTGATGACATAGGTGAGCTCCTGGTCTGTCGCCTTAGACGTGCCCGTGGCCTTGTCAGTCTCGTTGGCGTACCCCCGCCACTTGACCATGCTGTCAAGCGTCATGGGGTACGCATTCTCAAAGAGGCGGTACAGGTCCGGGTCCTTGATGACGCCCTTCATGCGGGTGATGAGGTTGTCCATGGCGGGGAGGCGGAATGTGCGACATTCCGGCCGGGGCCGGTTGAGCGGGAACTTGCGCTTGCCTTCGGACAACGGGCCGGGCTTCGAGCGCATCCAGTTCTCGAAGGACTCACAGTCCGCTGCCGGCGGCGGTGTCGGCGGCATCGGCGACGATGCGGGAGCGCTGGGTTTCGGATCACTGGGTCGGCCGGCGTCCGTAGGCGGCTGCTTGGCCAGCTCCTCGTCCTTGTTGCGGTATGAGTCTTGGCCCTCCGCATCGGCCTTGAGCTTGTCTGCGGCAGTATCGGGTTCGCCGTGTGCTACTGGTAGTTCCTTGTCCTTGTCCTGGTTTCCGAGGGGTTGCTTGCCGGCATCACCGCCGGTGGTGGTGGTGGTTTTGCCATTGCTTACGCCGGCTGCTGCTGATCGCGCTGAGTCCAGGTAGCTACCGCCGCCTGCGAGACCAGAGTTGTTCAGGAAGAGCACAAAGATGATGATGAGAAGGGCGATGAACACGACGCGGGCGCGGCGTGTCTGTATGCCGCCGCTCAGGACGGTGAAGGCTGGCATGGCTGCGTCGTGTCTGTGGCGTCACCCCCTTGGGCGCGTTGTCCGTTCCAGTGAGATTGCCTTCAATGAGTGTTCGTTCCTGTGAGATGAGTCCTCCGAATGCGTGTGTCTTTCTCCCTTCCAATGCCGGTAATGAGAGTGTGGCGTTTTTGAGTGTTCACTCAGCTCATCCAGCCCATGACAACGTGCAAATATTGAGACCCTCACTTCAACTAGACATCGTGTGCTATGTTTCGAAAGGGCGGAGAACTCAAGAGGAGTTGACGAGTTGACTTGCTTCAGGCGACGGTGTCGATTCCCGCTCTAAAAGGTTTAAAAAGTAAGGGGGTCACCCTCGCTCGGCATCCCACTATAATTGGATTTTAGTGCCAGGGCGCCGTCTCGGTCGGTTCCAAGCAATTTCGGGTCGCTCGTGTTGCAGGATGATCCTTGACTAGTTCGGTCCTCAACTCTGATCAGACTTCTTGCGGGGGGGTTGTCTCAGAGGAGGGGGCATATTAAGGGACCACACGGGGGAAAGAGCGTTTTTCATTGATTGTTGAATGGTCCCCTTCTCCTACAGGTACGAACGATACGAATAATCTGTCTGCTTTCATCCTGCTCATGGGATTGGCCGCGCCGCAGTGAAGTATTGCTTACAACCTAGTTCATCTTCGGGTCAACCTGCGCAACCACATTTCTTCATCTGAACGCGGGGAAATAACTAATCCAATCACGGACACCTGGCTCCGAACTGTGAACGAACCACGCGACCCTCGGGTTGCACCGCGCTATCGAATGGTTGCAGCGTTGTGTGGCTGACCACCACGCGAACAGTGGCTTCATGCAAAAACATGCAACAACATGCAGAGGAGCAAAAGATTTCTTGTGATATCTCGACGTTGGCCTGATTCGAACAGACGCTCCCGAAGGAACAAGATTTCTAGTCTTGCGCATTAGACCACTCTGCCACAACGCCGAAGTTGTCGTGAATCCGCAATGGAGCGGGGATGCTGAGGAGTGGGCTTCGGTGCCACTAGAGCTCTCACGACAGCCTCAACTTTTTTCGACGAACTTTTGCGAGATCGCCATACGAACATGTAAGAGTAATTGGGGTTGGCAAGACGCGTATCTCCAGCTTAGGTTACCGGTGGGATTCATGCCCACCCAACTCAACGCGTTCGCCCAATCCTGAAACCTTGCGACTCATTGACGCAAACTTTGATAACTGGGACTACTTGCAGCGGAAGCATGGCCGAGGAGACAACAGTTTGCAAGACAGAGTACAGATACAATGCTCCCCAAAAGGCCATTACAACTTGTACAACCTCGGCTCCGTCCCGTCCTCCGCTGCCCGCCGTACAATCCCCCGGTTCTTGACCCCGTAGTACACCCTCAGCGCCGCACACCCAACCACAACGACGAAAAGCAGCGCCGCGTTAGCCCAGTGGCCGGTCGGGTACCCCCGGGCCTTCTCCTCGGCCTTGTAGACCCATACGCCCGGGATCTGCCCGAGGCCGGCGCCAATGCTGACGTTGAGCGCGATGGCGAGCCCCGTCGCCGCTGTGCTGAAGATGTTGGACGTCAGCCAGCCCAGCAGCGGCGGGATGCACGCAAAGGCGCCCGAGGCGCCGACGATGAGGCACCCGTAGCGCGCGTTATAAGCGTCGGGCGGGAGGACGGCCGAGACGGCGAAGGCGATGCCGCCTATGAGGGCTAGAGCTGCCGAGTGGACGCCGCGGGCGTTGAAGTGGTCTGCAGACCAGGCTACGAGGATTTGCACCACTGTTTTCTTGTTAGTCTCTGTGGGAGGTATGTAGGTTGAGCTCCATCGAAGGGTTCTGTCTGGACGTACCGTATGCTGCAGCGTATGGGGGAACCGTCATCAGCTGCGCTTGTAGATCGACGAACCCGAGCCCTGAGGTGATGGACGGCGTGAACAGTGACAGCGATGAGAACGGTGTCGACATGGCAAAGTACACCAGGTAGTGCCCGTACAGTCTCCAGTCCGTCAGCGTCGCCTTGGCTTCCTCCCACGACATGGTCTTATGGCTGCTCTTGCTGCCCTCGTGGTAGAGTCTCCGCAGCGCGAGATCCTTCTCTCGCTCTGACAGCCAGCTGGCGCTTTCGGGATAATCAGGTAAGAAGAACCACACGAAGAAGGCAGACAGACACGAAGGGATGCCCTCGAGGATGAAGAGCCATCGCCACCCCGACATACCATGCACCTGATTCATATGCCCAATTCCGTACGCAATCGCCCCGCCAAACGCACCCGCCAACGTCGCACTCGCGAGAATCATGGCGACTCTCACACTCCTCTCGTCGTGCTTGTACCAAAAGGTGAGATAGTAGACCAATCCCGGGAACAGCCCAGCCTCAAAGACGCCGAGGAGAAACCGTACGCCCGTCACCGTCGCGAAGCTGTTTGCGCCGCCGAGTCCAATGGTCACGGAGCCCCAGGAGAACATGAGGAAGGCGAGCCATCGCGAGGGCCGGAGCTTCTTGAGGAGGATGTTGGAGGGGACCTCGAAAATTGCGTAGGCGATGAGGAAGATCATGAGGGCGATTGTGAAGTCGTGGTTGGACATGTGAGTCTCGGTTTGCATGTCGTGACCCGTGGAGGAGTTGAGGATCTTTGCGTTGCCGATGTTGGAACGGTCGAGAAAGCAGAGGAAGTAGATGCTCGCGGAGAGCGGGATGATGCGTTTATCTTGTTTCCAGAGAAGCGCTTTCTCTTCTTCGGCGTCGGCTGGCGTTGGGGAGGATGGCAAGGGTTCCTGTGATGATGCGGTTACTATTAGTGTGCCTTGTGATTATCTTCTCCACGGCGCACTTACCTCTTTCACGGCGGGAGACTCGACGTCCTCTCGGCCTAGGCCGAATGAGCCCTTTTCCTCAGGATGTGAGGCCATCGTCAATGCTGAGAAAGATGTGCTGCTGAGCGGAGTCGCGGTAGCAAGCATCGTCTGGGCTGAATACGAGTGTAGACAGAGTTCTTGACCACAAAGGTGTCCCTTTCATCAGCCTTGAGATGTCCACATTGAACCTAAGGCAAGGTATCCGTAAAGAAGAACATTTCATACTTTCGTCACACAGCAAGAAATGTCGGTCTTTTCATCTCATCGGCCGAGGTGGGTTTCCCCATCCCCCGCATCCGCGGGGAAGCTTCTCCTCACCTCCAACACGAAAATCTCACCAAACCATACATGTGCCGCCGTGCCGCCCCAGCGTCGCTATCTGGTGGAGTGGGTTTTGGTGGTTTTCGCGAATCAACGGCTCGCTGTTGGAGTGCGACGATCGGCCGTGCTTGATGCAATCATGCAGGTTTAGCCGAACAAGTCACACACGATGACCGAGAATCGGAGAAGGAAGGGGATACGGGAGGTTGGGAGGATTCGCCTAAGACAATGCCCTGTCCCTCGCTTGGTTAGGTGTTAGGTGGAATTGGGATCTGCAAAGCCAACCACCGAATCTTAGGCGCCGCCTCCATGACTATTGAGAAGTTATCTATGGAATTATCAAGTGTGAGAGGAAGAAAACGACATTCTCACTCGAACATAAAAAGGCGCGTCCTCAGTTTCTAGCAGAATCATTACTACTTAACTCGATGAATTGATAAACTGCTGTTTGAGACGCGCGCTGAAGACCAGAGACCATTCGGGTCTCAATGGATACATACTCAGGCGAAATTGCTCAAAGTCCAAGCCACAAACCTCTCAAGTCCGAAGAACTTCGGCATTTCCACAGCTGCGATATTTCATTCCACGCATACGTCTGCGCACAATAGCCGTCGTTCGTGATCTTGAACCCGCTGAACCCCTTCGGCAACTGAATCTAGTTTGGTGCTGTCTCACGAGCCGCGTCTTCGCGAACGGGTAAACACGTGGCTTGGGCTGGCCCGAAGCCCCAGTCAGATCTGATAGGCTGCAAAACGACTGATTTGCTGTGTTGTTTGCTGATTGAATCCGTTCTCATCGTGTTGCGTTCCTGGGTACCCTCAGCTGTAGCCAAGATGGATCGCGGGGTCTAAGACAACGTGCCGTTTCCGGTACTTCAAGGACACTTCTGTAGAAACGGACCCTTGAGATATGAGCCCATTTCACATGCTAACATCTGAAACTCTGTTCCATCTCAGCCCTAGAGAACTGCGAGCTGAACATGATCATTGATATAATGGCCCGGTGGGTGGCCCTTTCTTCTCTCCTGCTTGTCGTCTGCTCTTCGTCAACATCAAGTCTACTCCTACAAGAACAAGAAACCAGTCAGAATGTCGACAGACTACGTCAAATGTGCACACAAAACCATCCCAGAGGATGGAAACTTTGCGAACAGGAAAAGGCTGGTGATCTGCTGCGATGGCACATGGAACAACTCGTAAGTGTGGCAATGAAGAGATTCGATTATCCACGTATGCGTATACTGAGATGTCACTCCAAGCAATGACGGCGGCGTACCCACCAACGTGAGCCGCCTCTCATCTGCAGTCGCACACAAGTGCTGCAGCGGAATGCCTCAAGTAGTCTACTACCACCGCGGTCCCGGAACGGAAGAAGACAAATGGGCTAGCTTTGTGGGAGGCCTGTTCGGCCTGGGTGTCAAACAGGTAGATGACTCCAATAAACTGATGGCGGTGACACATGGTTGATGTTAATCGGTACCAGGACATTATAGACTGCTACCGCTTCATCTGCGATAACTATAACCCGGGGGACGAGATCATCATCGTCGGCTTCTCGCGAGGCGCCTTCACGGCTCGGTCGATTGCAGGCATGGTCTGCACGCTTGGGTTCCTCAACCGCTCTGGACTCAGCAGCCTCGGTCAAATCTACAAGGATTATAAAGCCTTCGGCGACTGGACGAATCCTCGCATGTTTGACCCTAAAAAGCATCTCCTGGGGTTCAATCACGACCAGCTGAAGATGAAGATAGAGAAAGACTACATGGCAGAGATAGAGCCGCTCGAAGATAAGTTGCGCCCCGAAAAGGTCGGAGAGTTAACCGAGGAAGAATTGTGGGATGTGGAGAGGGATCTGGTGAAGCTCCTCGAACGTTACGACCAGGCCACGAGTCACGAAGCCTTGGAGAAGCAGCTATATGAGGAGAAGAGAGAATTATTTACGAAGATGACTCAGTTCAAACGGACAGATGGGAGCATGAAGTTTCGCCTCATGGCAGAGGCTTATCGCCAGAAGCTGAGCGATGTAAGTGACGTCTCGATCTTCTGAAGTCCTTGACTTGATGGCTGACTTTTCAGTACGAACTTTGCTTGACTCGTATGGTAGACGATGGCAACGAAGTAATCTCGCACCAAGCTGTGGAGGGGAAGATTAAAGCAGTCGGTCAGTCCAAACCTACTCTCGATTATCAGTTCAACTCCAAATCGCGGTAGCTGAATCTGCCATGCGAACAGGCGTTTGGGAGACCGTGGGCAGCCTTGGAATCCCCAAGATGCCGTGGTGCAATTGGCACGGCGCCAGTCGGAATGCTGAAGAGGTAAGGTCCACCCTCAGGGGCCAAGGGCTGTGGTTCTCATCTATGTGCAAAGGCTAAACGTCTCATAACTGCCAGGTCCGATTTGCAAGCTACAATGTCCACCCCAATATCGATCATGCGTTCCACGCCCTTGCCCTAGACGAATTCAGAAGCCCTTTCGCTCCCACACTTTGGAGGTGCAAGAGATCGAACACAAATACTCAACTTCGACAGGTCTGGTTCCCTGGATGCCACAGCAACGTTGGCGGAGGCTCTGATTCTCAGCAAATCTCCAAGATTGCCCTTGGATGTACGTTACTCACCCCTTGTGCTGCACTCTCCGCCAGGGTGGAGATCCCCTATGCCTCACTTGAAGAACCTAAACTGACGGTGTCACTAGGGATGGCGGATCAGCTGACTTCCGTTGGTGTGGAATTCAGCACGTGTGAGATGCAGCGCATCTTCAGTACGATCTCTCACGGAGATACTATTCGGCCCTGGGGCCTCGGTGAGATCACCAGCCCAACATCTTTGGTCACGACGGGTCTCGACCGAGTTTGGAACGTGATTTCAGCGCCGTATTTTGCGTACCACGGTCAATTCGCGGAGAGTTCGGCGCGAAAGCCTCATTTCTACCAAGACAACAACGAGAAGAAGCTTCTGACGCACACGGAGGAGCTCGTTCACCCCTGCGTCAGGGTCCGCTACCTGTACAACGGTCTCGGTCTGGACGATAAAGCTGAGTGGCGCTGTAATGCTCTTACGGGTCGTGGCTGGGAACTCAAGCTTGATAGAGGCGTGGCCCCAACTAAAATTCGCCCAGGTCGGGACCCGAAGATAGTGGACAAGTACAGGACCGTTGCCGGATCCGTCACCTCTGTTCATCAGCAGTATCCGAAGACTCGGGCTGCTGAAGGCCAGCTGGTCAATACTGAGCAGCCCTCGGAAGATGATCTATGGCAATTGAAATCTCCGAAAAACACTTACACATGGACTCACCCAGAGGGCAAGGTGCTAAAAGAAGAGCAGATTGGCATGTGGGAGCGCATGTTCATCGACATCAACTACGAACATGCCGAACTGAAAAGGATAAGTGATGAACAAAAGATGCAGAAACAGACGCATGGTGATCGTCTTAGAGACATTGCGACGAACAAGGTGTACCACGCCCTAGGCATGGTTGACTGGATTGTCAAGACTACTATTGGCGCAGTGTTTGTTACGCGGCCGGACAAGCAGTATCCGCTCGGGTACCCGTTAAAGCATGGGTACTACGACTTTGTGTCCTGGCAAAAGGGGCTCAAGCAGGATGATTCGGAGGTTGGCCCCTCAGCCAAGGACTCGGCCAAGGATGCACATGCTGCTGAAGATGGTGATGTCCATGTCCATTACCACTGGCTGAACGATGGTACGCAATGAGAGGGCGCAACTTGACCTTCAAGTTGATACTTTCTACGGTTATTTGGCGACATACTTTCATTTGTCATTTGGGACTCTATTGTTCGTTCTTAATGAAAAGGGTTCTAGCTAGCTTTTACACCATTGTCACCGAGTAATAACGTAAAGGACATGGACAATCTATTTATTGAATTCGGAAGAAACGAGCAACTAGATTAACTCAGCAAGCTCGGGTACAAATCCTCTCTTTCGTGTCGCAACTCCCAATGACCTAGGAAGGGAAAACGATCTTCCTGCAACATGGGTTGAAAGTGATTCAGCGGCAAGAACCACCAACCTAGCACCCGACTTTTTCCACATTCATCGTGCAGCACGGAGGACCCAATCCAGGTAGCTCCCTGCGTTGCGCGATGAAGGGGATGAGCCGGAAGATCTTCTACGTATTCTATGGCAATCTCAGTCAACTCGATGGGTGATGGTTCCTCAACGGTGAAAAGACAAGCTCTCGGTCTTATGTATTATCGTCCCACGGCTCAAGGAGTTATTGATTTCCGCACCCTAGTTACAAATGTCGGTACACTCAAGCAAAGATGGGCGACTGGCCTACTCAGTTCCACCTTGGCAATATAAAACTTCGGCCTGTGCTGTCCTTGTTGCAGCTTGCCTCGCCCGCTTGGTTTGGAAGGTGTCAATTCCAGCCGCAGGCAGCAGTCAACTGAGCCAATAGACCGTGTCTACCGCCCCCATCCCCGGCCGAAGGATTGCCATGCAGACGGTTAGTTCATCTCGTATAAAGTATCGACCACACGTTATCACCCTGATGGTAGCATGCTAAATGCCTTGCAGGAACGCTATGGAGTCGTTAACCTATCACAGCTCGAGATCGTGGCATGATCTCCAGGGACCCCGAGATGATGCCGACTGAAGGAACGGGCCGTCAAATGTACAGCTCTCTTGAAGTCCCGGTAATTCAAGACTTACATAGTTCTAAAACCCGGAGCTCCATCACATGCTCTCCTTGGGGAGTGACTTACATTATGCATAAGAATGCCTTCTTGTCCACTCCCCATTAGCCTGCGAAACCATCGTGTGGAGAGATACTAGCATCCCGGATAACGACCAAGATGTTCTCCCTCAGAAGCACACTCGCGCTTTGCGCCGCTATGATCGGCGCAACTATGGCTGTAACCTCCATTTCAGACACCCAAATGACAACCCTCCTAAATGAAGGCGGCATCGGACTCGCCATGGCCGCTCAGCCAATGTGGTTCTTTGGACAAGCGATGAATCGGCCCCCTTGTATTCCAACACATGCAGTCGTCAACGGACAGCAAACGCCTGGCGCGGAGCTTTGCGAATGGCCCGAGGCCGGTTGCAATTGCCGAAAACCGGGCGTCGGAATCGGAAACCCGGCGCCGGACTTTCCAGTCTATTACAGCTACAGCAAGTGTAATGACAACGAGGTACGAGTGGTGTATAACCTGTTTTATGAGAAGGATGGGTTCACGCCGTCTGGCGTCTTCGGACATAAGTAGTACGTTCCAAACTACTCCTTCATCTTCTTATCAGGAGATTATTGGCTGATCACTCAACCAACAGCGACTGGGAGAGGGTAATCGTCATATGGACAAAAGATTCCGCAAGCAACTGGCAGCCCTCGCAGCTCTTACTCTCCCAACACTCAGGCTACGATCGAAAGAATTGGGGCGACATTCAGAATACCTTTGATACCGTCGACGCAACGCTCCCCCGCGGTGGCGACAACGGCAGAAAGAACCTTGACCATCCCAAAGTCTACGTCGCTTGGTCGAAACATGCCATCTACCACGATAGGAACACAGGCTGGAATGATGTGCTTTCCCAGTTGACGAACAATGCCTTCCGTTCGCAGGATTGGTGGCATTATCATGCGAGCAGTACGTATCCTTGTGCTACTCCCTGGGACTGGTTGTGTCGCATACTTTGATGACAGAGACTGACTTGTTGCAGGCTCGTATATCCGTGCAGACGGCTCGACTGCGATTGGAAAGCAGATGGCTGGAATGGATTGGGGATCGGCCACAAGTCATCCGGCCAGTGTTCATGATGGGCTGTGTTCTGCGTGAATTGTCAGATGAAAGTTATCTTTGAGCAAGAGCACGTAATCCCATTGCCATAAATGATTCATCACGGTAGTTGCCAGCGCAACTGCCAAATCTTGACACCCGCAGGCAGCCTTGCCTATATGTACCGACATGTAGCTTCGTGTGTTAATCATCGGTGCAAAATGGTAGAACACACCATGTTGCGGAGTGAGAATGTGAGAACGCAGGCTGGCTGCAATGGTCAATGAAATTCTGCCCACTCGCCCTTGACACACTATTGGCACATTCAAAGCGGCTACCCTGCTCTTGTAGCGGTACCTGTCTTTGCGTAGTTTATCGGGTCTGCTACCCGCAACCAATTGTTCTTGTCTATCTTCGAGCGATCAAAAGAAAGAGCTTCAACGAAATCGATGTGATGATCCCTCCTCCCACTCTATTTCATACCTAGCTTAGAGCGGCCAACAAGACGTTTCGCCACAGTCTGCTTTCGTCCTTTTGCTTGTGCACTCTTCGCTTTCATTGATTTGACCAAGACACTCTCCGCAGAGTCGCTTTTCGCTGCCATTCTGAGCCACTCAGCCTCGTACAGAAGTAGAACGATCTTCACCTTCAGACCCTCCATAGACGCGTCGTCAAGCATGATGCAGAGCTCGTCGATCAAATGGAAATCGTCCGCTTGATCGAGTGATGAGAGGACCGTCGCTAAGTCCACGATAATGTAAGTGTTTGTACCCAAGCTCCTTACTGCTTGTCCCAATAGCTTCAGCCAATCTTTTGGCTTCAGCGTAGTATGGAATTGAGAGTATCGAGACGACAACTCCTTTTCCGTCTTTAAAGAAGCGCTCAATCGCAACGCCTGATACGTGAGATACTTTATCAGGTCGACTGCCGTTGACATGGAAGCATGCTTTGATCTGTCTAAGCTAGGCAATGCCCACAGTGTCGGCACCTCAGCTGACTCTAAAGTCTGGATGATGTCAATCCCGAAGTCTACCATGGCAGAACGCACATTAAAGGAGCCCTTGATGATAACCAGTGACGATCGATGGCTCGATGACCATTTCGTGAGTCTGGGGGATAACCAAAACTGATTCGTTGAGGTAACTACGCCTCGTCCAGAGACTCTGCGGTTTCGGCACATGAGGTGATACTTGTAACACTTTTCCGGATCCTCAAAAGCCGGTGAAAGAGTGGTAAGGACGTTTGACAGATGGAGATTTGATATTCGTTGATTTGTGTCTAGTTGGGCACTTGTTTGGATAGATTGAAAGGCTAAACACTGGTTGTAAGCGCTCAGAAACCATGTTGCTTTGAGGAGTCAAGGATCACCTACTTTCTACCTTGGTGACGAGATCATTCATTGTCATACCTGAGGCTTCCAAGAGAGACACCACGAGTTCAAGTTTCTTTTCATTCCTCTCATTTAAGACTCTTAATCCAGAAAAAAGTTGTGTAAGACCGTCAAGTTGTTGTTGGTAGGACTTTTCAGCATCTTCCAGGGCGGAAAGAATGCCTTCCAGCTTTCCTGAATGAGCCGTGTGCATAACACGGAGCTCGGCTTGCGAGCCTACAGCCGCCAGTTCAGTGATGTTGTCAGAAGCAACACTGATTCTCTGTAACAAATCATCGTACTGAAGTTTGTGCGGCCGCGTGAAGCTGTGGACGAAATGGCGAAGTTTAGACTCTTTACACCACGAGTGGGCAATCAGCAGGAACTCCAAGATGCAAGAATACAGATTCTCAACCGCCACTCGCATGTTGGCCGTTGGATATATTGTGGAAACAATTTTGACTCGCGAAAGTCGTACGCCAACCTGCCAGGTGGACTTGGCCACGATTTTCAGGGTCTCCGCATGGTTGACCACGCTCTTCCTCTGCCGTTTTAGCTCTTTTCGTGCGTGTTTCCATTTTGAATTGGTTGACTCACACCAAATATCAGTTTCATAGCGCCCCATGCCAGAGACACATACTCTGGATGATGTTGAACAAAGACGTCGAGGATGGTTCCGTAATGACAAATGATCTCAGATGTGCTTTGAAGCCACCCCCTGGTTTTGCTCGAAGCCTTCGCTGCTTCATATTTTTCGAGCGTTGCGGTCACTAAGCCTTGAACATCTTCCATGGAATGACTCCCAGTAACTACAGTCTTATCCTCGCATGTCAGGATATCACTCTGCTGGAAGTATTTCTGGACAGCCCTGAAAGCTCCTTCCGCAACACATCCGTCATCTGTCTCCATCGTGTTAAGACGTCTCAAAGTCTTCGCTGGTCATTCAAAGCTTACCCTGCTTCGTCCCCTTGTAACATGATAATATAGCTGTATTCGTATCCATCTGTACCACATAGCCTTTGCACTATGAACTCACACTGTTCAGCCTTTCGTACGCATCAGATTCGGATTTTGTGACGCAAAGGATGCCGCGTGAAGTTGCGGTTATGGACCGTCGTTGACTACAGTCGATTACGCATTTTCAGCTCTCTGAGGGATGGCGCTGTCGCTTGGAGGTTTACTCGACCTGTCATTTGGCGTTTGATAGGTGCGTGCCGCCGGGATTGGAGCCTGATCAGATCAGGCTGGATTTTTGCTTCGATCAGAAATTACGAACATAGCCAATTAGATGATGATGCTCAAATCATCACATCGACCTATCATCGTATCAGGCTTCAGTCAATCACATTATTCCTGGCAAGCTGCATGCTGTGTGACGCTGACTGCGCCTCAGCAAAAGCAACCCCCCTTTCCTGCCATTCCAAGTTTTCTCTCAATTCCTCCCCCTCATTTTGCCTCTTCACAGTGCCTGCCTACGAGGGCTAGCAACATCTTTCTCGGTCAGCACCAGGAATCGTTGCAGCTACGCGTCTCTCATCGTACGGCCCCCCCGGGTGCGCTGCCACCATTTTGACTCAATGCAGCGTACAAACGTACACTTCAAAGCGTTATTGACGAGCATCAAGTGGCGTCGTTCAAGGCAGACTAGACCCAAGAACTCGCGCTTCATCCAACATGGCAACAGACAACATCCATCATCGAATGGTCACAAACCCAAAACCTCAAAAGTCCGGATTACATCCAAGACTCAACCAGCAACGACATGGAGAGGACGTCAAACATCAGCCCACTGTGACGAGTGTGTCTTCGAAAATCTCCTGGCAAGGACTGCAAGAACATTATGATGCAGGTAGCCATACTTCAGAAGGAACCTCCTCATTGCCCTACTCACAAAAGGGCTTCCGAGCTCCAGTGTACTATGGAGGATACGGAAGTCCCGAAAAACAAGATGCAATGCGAGGCCAACACGATTTAGCTGATGATTGGAGCGCATCCTCGGTTGGAGATCCAGATACCCAAGTCAACGACCCCCGAGAGACAACTCAGACACATTATACAATATCGGAAGATGAAATAGGTAAAGGGTCACAGAACAAACTCGCCGCATTAGCACTCAAAATGGGTGCTCCTCAACGTATCGAGCATTCTACCCATTTGGGTACCGCGCAACCCATTCCAACCGCGTCAACAGCTCAATTAGAGAACGAATGCGAAGCCCCAAATTTACGCCAGACGGGATCTCCAGCGCCAGGGGTCATCAATTTAACATCACAACAGAAACCTCACAGCCACAACCCATCGTCAACAGTTCAAAGACAGAAGCAGCCCGAAAGAGCTCGTCGGAAGTGGGAAGCAGCCCAAGGGACACAGAACATAAAACAGAGCCACGGCTATCGCTATAGCCCAGTAGATGTTTCTGAGGCTCCAGTCAATGACGGTGAAGCTTATTTGGAATCAGGTCTTTCCTCAGAGCTTAGAGCGTGTGCTGCTACCCCGAACATCTCAGAACACATTCTGATGGCTGTTTCTGAGGCAGGTGAAGTCCCTGACGGAGCCTTCTCAGAACCTCTGAGCGCCGAAGAGACATCTTTATTGTATTATGATGTCTTTCAAAAGATGAAGCAGCGAATCCAGCTGTTAGAAGCGGCTAATGACGAGCTTAGCCGAATTCTCACGCCTCAAGTGAATGTCAGGGTACAGATCTTCCACCTCCTCGATAACAAAGAAATGGGCGAAAGTGTTTACCTCTCGGAACCAAAATGGATGGTGATTTGTAACGACATTGGTCTCGTTGCCCAATTTCTATTAGTAGACCCTGAAGGATACATTGAAAAAGAGAAAGACATCTCATTTGTAATCTACAAGTGTTACTCAGAAGAGCATCAGAGAGATGCAGTGGAAAAAGCGCGGAAGTCTTCAGGGTCACTACCAACCCCGGAACCTGCCTACCAAGACATTTTGCTCACTTCGGAGGAAATGGTGGAGGCTTTGGAGGCTTTTTTCGCCCTGCATCCGGCGTCTCGTCAAGAATTTCCTAAACTCTACACTCATAGCAGATTATCAGCGCCGTTTGTATGGTGGTATCGCCACCGCAGGTCAAGTAAGATCGAAACCCTGCCGCGCCGCCAAGCCGAATTGGTTAATGCGCTCGTAAGTCACATCGAAGAGGCTTACGCAAGGTTGTACGACAACATCGAAGAACAACTCAGCAGAGGTTATGTGTCGAACATCTCCATGGAATTTCTTTTCCGGCCTGGGCAAGTCCTGGTCTCGTTCACGGATGGCGTCCCTCAAGGCCACATTGCATTGTCTCACCCTTATGCCCACGTCAATGAACCTAGCGACATCTTCACTCTACCAAAATCGAAAGGTCGACAAGATATTTCAGGTAATAATTTGTCGCAATGGACCGTGTCATCGCGTACAATTTCCTATCGTGGAGAATTCGTGCGGGTGGTAAATGAACTCAAGATTGGGTTAGAGACGGAGACGGAGAACGGAGAGATTGATATCTCGAGCCTACCTGTCATACCGCTTGAGTATGCCTCACATGCATTGCGGGAGAGGCTAATGCGTCGTGGCCAAACGTTCTGGAAATGTCGCGAGAAAAGGCTTGTTTCCTGCCAAGGCACAGGACAAATCCACAGTGTAAGTTGGTGTTTTCGGATGACCTCTGAAGTTATACTCTCCTATCCTCCAAGCAACCCTTTTGACTCCTCTCACTAATATTCTTTAGGGCGAAAGATTTATGATTGACTTCGAGACGTATACAAGCTTTCATCCACAGAATCAGTACACAAATAAGGACAAGCTCGTACCAGAGCCAGGCCTGCCAACAAACGGCAGTGAACCGCGCCTTCCTGAGATCTACCTCTTTCCAAACCTTGTCCCTGGCTTTGATCTAAGGCGTAAGAAATGGGGTGAAACTTCCTCTGACTTTGCATGTGAAAGCACTTGACTGATCTTTCAAATAGTTGATGTTGAGGTCGACCAGATTCGGGACGTGGCCTGGAACGATCAAGCCTTCAACAGTCTGGTGGCCGATGAAGACATGAAAACGCTCATTCTTGCACTTGTCACCAACCAAATCGATGCCAAAAGAGGCACAGACGTTATCGATAACAAAGGAAACGGCCTTATTATGCTGCTTCATGGCTCTCCGGGCACCGGAAAAACATTTACAGCAGAATCCGTCGCCGAAATAGCTAAGAAGCCTTTGTACTCGGTAACCTGCGGCGACATAGGCACGAATCCTGCTGATGTTGAGAAATATCTCGAGTCAGTCTTCCACCTCGGCAAGATCTGGGACTGCGTCGTGCTCCTCGACGAAGCCGAAGTGTTCCTCGAGCAACGTACTCTACAAGACCTCCAACGGAACGCACTTGTCTCCGTGTTCTTGCGCGCTCTAGAATACTACGATGGGATCTTGATCCTTACGACAAACCGTGTGGGTACCTTCGACGAGGCATTCAAGTCTCGAATTCAACTAGCGCTCCGGTACCAAAGGTTGGAGGCCTACCAACGCAAGCAAATCTGGAAGAACTTCTTCGAGCGGCTCAAGAGCATCGGAGAGGAGGACAGCATTGACTTTGACGATATTTCGCTGCACATAGACGAGCTGACCAAGCACCCCATGAACGGACGACAGATCCGGAATACGATCACCACCGCGCGGCAGCTCGCTAAGTTTATGGGGAAGAAGATGGTATTTTCGCATCTGCAACGAACTATTGCAATCACGAATAAGTTTGACGAGTACTTGGCTGACGTTCGGGAAGCTGATGTGGAGGAACATGGTGGAAGAGGCCTGGATGGCAGGTACTCGGACGAGTATTTTGCTCGTTCTGATCAAATACGATAGTGCGGCTAGCTATTCAAGTAACAACGCGGTAACGAATTGATTCCCTTTACCATATAATCAGGGGCTTTTCAACTTATGGCTTCAGCGGATATACAAATTTCGCTCCCATGGGTGTCGTTAAGCTTGTATTGTGTTGCAAAGATGACGCCATTGATGACGGGAGTAGTCAACGCCTTACACCCAACGATATGTTGCCTACAAGGGCCCAAGAGAACATCTTTGGGTGAATTTCATCAACTTCCAGATGGCGTCAGTACATCTATCACTAGGATCCCCCAATTTCCGCTCGATCTCGAAACTATCTTATTCAGAGGCGGAGATAAGGGACACACGGCTGGACAAATACACAATTCATCATTACTCCTGTGAAAATCACGTACATGTATTGACCTTAAGTATCTAGCAAATGGTATAATACCTTCCCAGGGGGGTTCTCTTCGAGTTAGAATCATTACATCATTTCACTTAGCGAGATAACTATGATATACCTTTCACGGGAGTGTACATTCCATTGTGATCCACCTCGAGAGAGACATTACTCCCCCCGGAATCCTCAACATCGACGATCAGAAGATTCCCGTGCACCCGCTCAGTCGAAACTCCCACGTGGAACCTAGTGAATGTCCTCAACGAACTCCGATCGAACAGGTCTGTCGAACCTTCTGCCTTCATCATGATACTCGCGCCCGAAATCCGACGCACGTACTCCGCTGGCCACGCCTCCGATTCAACCTGCACCGTGTTCGCAACATTCTCGATAGTAAATCCAGGCGGCACGACAACAACCCGGTTTATCATCCACGACGGCGTTATTTCGAAAGTAACGGTGCTGCCGTCACTCTTGATCGTCTTATGTCCGGGCGGTAAGATACGCACCTGGTCCATTCCCTCCATCCACCGGATTCTTGGGAGAAGAAGGACGCTACTGTCACCACGCGCAAACTTCGAAGGCATCCCGTTGATGTCCCACGACAGCGCGTTTGGAGCCATAACGGAGTCGCCGGCACTGCTATTGGTCGTCATATACTGATACTGCAAGACAAGAGCAAGAGATCCTTCGCAACCATTCTCTTGCAGTGATGGACCTCTGAGAGGAATCACAATTGGGGAAGCAAGACCATATGATCTGACGAGGCGTCCCGTTATTGGTAAACCGCCGGAATGCACTTCGCTGGCGCGAGGGTCCCATGTCACCGAATACGGGACACCAAGATGAAAACTCTTGGGCAGCGTCCGTATTGCACATCCCCATTCCGGAGCATAAGCCCTGTCAATCCCAGGGATATTTGTAAACCTGTGGATGAATTTGAAGTAGATGAATGCTGAGCAAAGTCTCTCACGTACCCAGGCGGTCGTTGGAAAAGTGAAGAGCTGACGTGAGACCCTACAATACGACATCCCGTCGGGATCGTCGCGGTCAGGTGAGAAACGTATAGTGTTGTATAAAGCAAGTGCGATGGTGTTGAAGGTATCGCTGCGACGACGGCAGAGTAGAGGCGCCAAGAAAGCAGTCGAGGGGCCTCTAACCCATTTAGAATGCGACCCCAGGAGTAGTGGTGTCGTAATGGTGATGCCTGAGTTTTCGATGCGCACTCGTGAACTGGGCATGACATCGAAGACACGAATAATGTCGCCGGAGTGCGTAAAATCTTTGGGACTTGACGCGAGGAGTGGGCAGCCCTCAATGAGATGCGGGAGGCTAGTCATATTCCCCTCATGCGGGTTTCCCCACGCGAAGATGGACTGATCGTCATTGTCCCGGATGATTGCCTCTTGCAGTCTCTGGAAAGCTTTGATACCTTCCCCGTAGATAAGGGGCATGTTGATATCAAAGATTCCAAGAAGGCAGTATGCAGTGTCCTCAACTCGGGTTGTAATCCTTTGTGATGCCCAGCTCATCCGCTCGGCGACACTGGCGCTGTCCAACCTCCTCTCCCCCGACAAATAGTTCCTTTCAATCCCCGTCGTCTTTTCAATGGCGCTGCGGAAAAGTGTTCGTGAACCTAGACGCGTCCAATCTTGGCTGTAGAAGTCGAGAGACAACGGAGCAAGGAGCTCCTGGAGCGTCCAGCCGCGGGTGAACCACCGACTCCCTGCCAAAGACGTCTTACATTCGTCGTCCCCAGGCTCAGAGTATACCACATCAGATAGATAGGCCAGGCAGATTCCGGCCTCTTGATACCATCTGAACATAGAGTTTATGGCCTCGGACAGCTCGCTACTGCTGGCTTTGTCGATGCAGCAAGTATCGATCCAGATCCACGAGAAACCTCGTTCGCGGGCCACGCGGCATGCAGACTGAATTTTCGTCCATCCGGCCTTGGCTGAGGGGTCTTTCTCCAAGTCTCGAAATAGGACTTCGCCATCGCCCCAGGTGTGGGAAAGAATTGCGTATTTGGGAACCGAGCCCTCGACGAACTCGCTCAATTCCAAGGTACTGGTTTCTAGAAGACGCATTCTGTATGGCTGGCCTAGTCGTGCTGTCGTCGCCTGACAATGTATAGCTGTCCACCCATAAGTTCTCAAATGAAGAGTTGAGGGGTACCCGCAATCAGGCTATCAGCGATCAAAAATGCGCTCACACGAAGTAGAGGTGCATGATTGGGCTATCCCGTGGGGTTCATGTAAGCGCCGCAGGCCTGCATGATGCCCTTGTACGACCCGGAGGTGCGATTGAGAAGCGGCTAAGAGGCACTTCGTTCCATCTTGAATCAAGAGCGATCGAAACTCTGGCCATGGCGATTGATCACTAAGTTGATGGCGCAGGCGTAAATGCTTGGCCACTGTAGATACTCCCGTCGAGGAAGCAAGTCAAAGAGGGAACCTTGCAAATCGCCACAAAACTTACAAACGCCCAAGATCTTGGCCATAGTACGAGCTCACATTCGGCGGAAGCGGTCAAAGGTACCAGTGAAGAGATCATGACAGTTTTGTATCAAATACAAATCGAAGTAATGTCAAACACCTCATGTCAAGATACGATTTGATGAAGAACGTCGGTTCGGAAGGACAAGAAACAGCATTCACCAACATTGAACCCTCAAGCTGACGTAAGGCACCAGCTCCCTCCAAAGTTCCTTTCCCCAACCTCCAAGAAGGTCACCAAACGGCCCAAGCTCCTGCCCGCCGCAGCTCCACGAGCTTAAGCGCCAAAAAAACAAAATGGCAAGTCAAGCCCAAGGAAAGCCCGGACCCCATTACGGCCCCTGCCTCCTTCCACCCCGCCAGTCGCCCCTTGGTCCAAGCACCCGGCCCGTGCCCCTCTCCCCCAAATAGGAAACAACGAAGAAGGGGGAATGGAAGGATGGAAAGAATGCCCCGCGACTCATGACTGGACCCCCCGCCGCAGTGACATTCTCACTAATTCCTTGCTAGCTGGGCATTCAACTGGAGACAATCAATTATACGGATACTTTGCCAAGATATGTGAATTGTGAAATGAGAAACCATGATAGTACCTCTTTTTCATCCCCTGATAACGCACGAAGGCCCTATCTTTAATGCGCTCCCGTCCCGGAAAGGAAGAATTTTGTGCGGAAGGTGAATGTTGAGGAGTCTCGCTGTCCAATTTGTTCGCATCTCGCATCGCGCATTTCACAACACCAACACCAACATCGCAGCATCCAATCACCAAAAATCAACAATACCACCACCCTTTAACTCATTCCTCAAACCAAAAGACAACACACCAAACTACTCACCCCTCCCCCAAGAAAAAAATGGGCAAAGCCAAAAAAGAAAAAGAAAAAGAAAAACTCGTCATAAACCACTACACCCTCCAGCTCCCCTCCTCAACCCAACCCCAGCAACACTCCCTCATCCCAAAAACCTACCGAACCCTCCTCAACATCCTCACCATAACCCCCCTCCAACCCTTCATCACCATCTCCCCGCTCACAGCCCTCACCTCCCCAGCTTACGCAGACCCAGACTCAGACTACTACTCCGGCGCCCACATCCTCCAGCTCATCGCCTACGTAATCGCCCACATCACCGTCTCCTGCACAATCTACTCCCTAACCTCCCCCGAACGCCAGGCCGTCCCGCCCAGAATCCAACTCTTGATCTGGGGATACTACCAATTCGCCCTCCTCATCATCGACGCGTCTCTGCTCTACAGCGCCCGAATATCCTGGAGTCTTCAAGGGAGCCCTGTGAACCCGGTGCGAGAATGGCGCGGCGTGGACTGGATCCTCGTGGCTTTCACGCTGATGGCGGCGCTCACCAGGGTCGCGTTCCTGTTCAAGGTGGGGTTCCCCAAGCAGGTATCGCCCGAGGAGCGACGGAAAGCTTGGGATGAGGACAACAAGAAGTTCTGGGATGGTGTGAATGACGGGACCTCCAGCATAGTATGCAATGGTTAATGGGCAGTCATTTTCACAACGATATGGGAACGAACGCACGTGTGCCTTCGATACAGTAACGAAATGAATTAGGGTATCATCAAGTCCAGTCTATCCTCAGCCCATCCCGCCCAAAGTCGTCTGAGAATCCAAACATGATGCCCTGTGATGCTGTCTGCTTCTCCTAACGAGCTGCGCACCCCTAAAATAGGCTTATTCTATGATTCAAACAATCCCGCGCCGGGCCACAATCGTACAAAACATCTTCTCTCATAACAGCGTCAAGATACCCCAATTAAACCACCTCGCATCATCATCTAAGCCCGAATGCTCCCTTTTCAACAATGAATCGGACGGGGTGTCTTGCTCTTCTCCGGAAGCTTAGCGGCCTTGCCCCACGTCCACCGCGGTTCGGAGCAGTCGGTGTCGGGCTAGGCAGTGGCAAAGGCATCTGTCCCGGTGACAGGCCATTGCCGCCGCGCTCATCGAATCCCCACCGCATAACACCTCCGCTTCGGATCCAGTTCTCCAAATTTCGGCACTGACTAACGTCCACCCATTGTAGTCGACTGCATCCTTCAAGCAGATTCTCGACACCGCCGCCAGTAACTCTAACGCAGCCGCGGACCGAGATGCCCTCCAACTCGTTCAGGTGCAGTGCAACCGACTGCAAGCTGGCATCCGAGACGGCACTGCCGCAGAACGAGAGGCGAAGTTCGCGCAGCTGAGGCAATCCCAAGGCGACGACTTCCGTGGCGGTATCAGAAAGAGCGCAGCAAAAGGACAGATCCAGGTGTGTCAGGTTCTTGGCCGCACCGACGAGGGCGACGACCGCGTTGTCAGAGAGGTAAGTGCAGTCCGCGAGGCACAGATGAGACAGGTTCAGAAATCGGTACGGAGCCCAAGACTGGAAGCCGGCGTCTGTAATCGAGGTGCATCGTGTCAGGGACAGCGATTCCAACCGATTGGACGCATGCGCAGCAAGATGAGCCATCGACCTGTCGGTGATGTGCTTGCAATACGACAAGTTGAGGTGCTTGAGAGCGGGGCAGCCAATGATGGTGCCTGGCTTGGGTATGTTAGCAGCTCTCTGTTGAGCCTGTTGCGTAACAGCCTTTTGAGGCTTTGACTTGGCCGAAGAACTGGATATCACCACCTGCTTGCTGGGAGGTTGGGGTGGTGGCGGCTCAGGTACTACCCAGCCTACGACACGTGCCAGCAAGTTGTCACCAACCTTGCGACAGTTGCTCCAGTCGATTTCCTCCAGGCCCTTTGCGTTCTCTGCCATTTCCAGAATCTGATTTGCAGAGACATCCCACACGGAACGCATGCGCCATCGTTTGACATTGCGGCCACAACTCTCCCAAAGACTTCGGAAACCGTCGTCGGTAATGTGGAAGCAGTTGCTAATGTCAATGGTCTCCGGGCGGTTGCCAACGAAAGGACCAATGACTGTTCGGATGGCCAGATCTGTGACTCTCCTATTGTGCTCAGACAAGTCCAAGTCCAGGCAGACCTTCGGATGCGTCGTCAACAGCTTGCGCCAATAAGACGAAATGATTCGCGCGTTCATCAGCTCCGCAACATTGAGGTATCGAAATGCTTCCACAAGCAAATCATCAGGAAGAGCTGGGACCTGGGCCGGGTGTGGACGACGTGGCAATGTCCGGGCTCGCTTGACGGGCGCTTCTTGCTCGGGTGGTGACTGTGGCGGAAAAGAGAAGCGAAGAGGTGTCGACTCAATCTGGTGAGTTCGGAAGCCGTTCGCCACTATTGACGAGGAGTTGTCGGATTGCGGGGTAGGCGGGGCCAGGGAATTGCGTCGCCTATTTCGCATATTCTCCATGTCCACGCTCAAGAAAGGATCAGGGTCCTTGGGCTCCATCGTTTCCATATCGTCCTTCGTAGGTGACGTCGGTTTCGAGGGCGTTGTAAACGTGACGTGCGGTAGAGCTTTGGGTGTTGTCGGTGTCGGAGGGTCTGATTTGCTGGTTCTTTCCATAGGGTCTGCATCTGACATTTCAACGTCTTCGTCGGAATTCTTGTATCTCTTGCGAGCTGTCTCCTCAACCTGCGACTTGATATCGGGTGGGCATCGGCTCCAAAGCGTGTCTAATGCGTCTCCGGGGATCATCAAACACTCGACCGTTGTAATTGCCCGCACTGTCGCTGTTCGACCCTCGGACAACCCAAGACTGGCCACTTCTCCAAAGTATTGACCTGCTTTTAATCTTGGCCTGAGATAGGTCGCACGAGCCATCTTCTTTGGTGGTTCATTTGGTGCTTCATGAACAACCTCTGCTTCACCTCGAACAATGAAGAAGATCTCGTTGCCGGCCGATCCTTGTTGGATAATGTCTGTAAATGGAGGGTATGTCTTTGGTTGCACGCTGAGTCCCAGCTGATGGAGGATGTCAGGAGGCAATGTGGAGAACAAAGGCAGTTCTCTTAATGTTCGTCGCACGTTGACGAAACCACTTCCGAGGGCACTGCCTGCTGCAGGGTCTTCAATGGCGCCAGGACTGGGAGATTTTCGCTTCTTGGAGTTGACGACGGTGCCCTCTCTAATGGTGCCTACCTCACCCGTAGACACCTCACCTGGCACCGGTTCTCTTGCTCCATTGGCCTGCATTGAGGCAGGCTTGATGAGTTGCCCGCCCTCTTGGCGCTTCTTCTTGAGAATGTTCAACCGCTCTTGAGCTTCGTGACGAATAGCCCGTTCCATATCCGGGAATTTCGGCAACTCGGCCTGGAGGTCTTCCTTCTTAAGGACCACGAGAAGGCATTTTGTCCGAGCCACAATGGTTGCAGTTCGCGGCACGTCCATCAACACACCGATTTCTCCGAAAAAGGCACCGGGCTTGAGCTCTGCATAAATGGCTTCACCGTCTCTAGAGGTGACAGCCACGACTCCGCGCACCAGCCAGTACATTGCTCTGGCGTCATCGCCCTCTGTGAGAATGTGGTCCTGTGCAGCATGAACTTGTGGTCTCAAATGGTTTCCGATAGCTGCCAAGAACTCCTCTGGCGCAGACACAAACAGGGGAAATGATCTGATGCGATCAACCAAGTCGAGCGGCATATCGCGGATGGTGGAAGCGGTGAGAGGAGATGGCCGCATGGGGCGGGTAGGATTCGTGTCAACGTTGAAGGACCTGAGGAGTGAGAGGGAATCTGGCACCCCGCCCGCGCCCGCGCCGGCGTGGGCGAGGGCGCGGTAGGGTGAAGGTGACGTTGGGGAGCGATTCCGCCTCATGGTCCTTGACGGATGCCGCGTACGTGGTCGTGTCGACGCCAGGTTTTCGACGTGCCTTGCCGGCTAAGCTCTCTGCCCAGTGGGAGGGCAGAGGGCCAAAGCTTCAACAGGGCTTCGCCAGTGCACACCCGGTCTGTAGCCTGTGCTCCGCAAGGGCGGCTGGAGGAGGAAAGTCCTCTCCCTGCCTGTAAGCTGAAGCTGCCTCTGATGCTAGATTCCCGCGGTTTCCGTCGTTAGTGTAGACAGCAGACGAGGCTGGTGCATGCTCCGGAACGGCAGTTTGAAGAGCGTATTGGGTTCGCCGTGAGGAGATGTCAATCGTAGCGGGGGCTGATAATTAGAGACGCTCTGATGATTGAGGACCTGTTGTTGTTTCGCGCTATTTGAGATCGAATACTGCAAATTTCTTCTCAGCGATTCGGGAGTGAGAGGCGATCGCGTTTGGCTTGAAGGCGGGGTCTTCGGAGCAGCTTTGGGAGTGGGAAGGTCGGGTTGGTCGACACTGCTGAGTGTCGCAGATTGTATCACGCAACGTCGCCGTTGAAAACGGTGTCTCTGGTCGGTTTCGACACGACAATTCGCCGGCAGGATAGAATGATTGATGAGGAATGCGGTCACACCAAGTGTCTGCGCAAAGCCAGCAGCGGAAAGTTGTCGTGTGTTCGGCACCAGGTGCTGTGGAAGCTGAGTTGGGCTGACAGTTCTGCCGTGGGAGTCAGGTTAGAGAGAAACACACACGGTCACTTTTTTGCCGCTGGTGATTTCATAACGGTCAGCAGGCGGGAGAGTACTCACCAAATCTTCGACGGTGTAGGCAAAGACAATTGTTGCTGTGTGGAATTGCTCTCGATCCGAGATAAACGGCTCTGTACGCGGGGTTCGGCCGGTCGCAAGGAGCGGATAGGCGAAGGCGAGATGAGTTGCGAGGGTGGTGGGAAACGAAGGTGCCGGGGGGCGGCGGGATCGGAGGCGATAGAGTGATGTAGGCGAGTGAAGAAGGCGGATGATTCGCAGTCGCAATATTGCAGATCAGTTGAGCCAACAAACGAGCACGGGAATAGGCGATTGGAGGTTGCGATGCGAGGATCTCCAGCAGAAGAGGAAGATAGGAAGATGACTGCTGCAGGAATGGGTAAGCGGGTGGGAGGGGGACTGGAAGGAAGAGAAACGGTGACGGACGAAAAGAGAAGCGGTCGTGGGTTTGGGAAGGGAAGGGAAGGACCGAACTGGGGGCGACGGGACGGGTGCGAGGATTCCAGGAAGGGACGTGAGGGACGTGAGGGACGTGAGCGTGGGCGCAGATGTCGGTACGTAAGGAAGGAGGTACCTTGTCTCTTGGTGTATTTGGGTGCCTTCCATTTGGTACGGAATACATCATACAACACCTAGTAGGGTGAGGTAGACAGGTACCTCTTCTTTTTTTTTGGTGGAGGCGGCGTGGGCGGGTGTGGGCGTGAACGTCGCACTGAAGTGGGCGGGTGGGCGTGCCCTGGGCGCCCTGGGCGTGGGCGTGGGCGTCCATGGCACGGCGCGAGGACGTACTGTGGAAACGTGGGACGTGGGGAAGGAGCAAGAGTCGTTCTAACTGCTGCTTCTTTCCTTCCTTGCCGTTTCCTTCCTTCCGACTGCACTATTACCTACTCCGTACGAAGTCCCAAGCACCCAAGGCACCTTCCTCAGCTGTTCACTCTATCTTTTGGTGGGATTACATAAGGCAAGATTCTCTACTATGCAAAGTGGTACATTACCTTATGGTACCTCACATCCAGGGAGATGACTAAGGTACCTAAGATAGGTAGGCTAAGATATGGCGGCCTGGAAGACGGGGAGGTAGAAGGGCGAGGATGGATGATGCTGCGTTGCATCCCCTACGTTTCTCGCGACCTAAGCGTGAGTGCCAGACCCAAACTTCGTCGACCAACGCCCAGGAGTCAGCGACTGTGCGGTGGACATGTGCAGATGCGCAGGTGCGGGAGCTGGTGCAGATGAGCCGCAAGGATACAGCAAGAGGGAGGACACACTCACCCGCACACACCAGAGAGAGTTCCGGAAGGTCAAACACGGACAGGACAGCCAGACGAGACGGGCCAAACACCTTCGTCTCTTCACTTCACAAGCACCACTCTTCCACCAGGGAGCCCACGTCTTTGACGCCCCCTACCACCATACTTGATAGTTGGGAGCCAACAATACACATGCTCTTCAAATACCAACGCTGGCCATTGGAATATTTTCTTACCCCAAGCAGACTGGAAGACAACTCCAAGCGTCACCTCTACCATCGCTCTCTTTAGAGCTTTTCCCCTTCGCCAACACTGCGGCCAGCCAGCCCTCGCACAATGACGCTCGGAGGGTGGGGTAGGGGCCGCGAAGCTTGTACTCATTAGGTACTAATATACTTCACACGGACCCTTAATGCAGTCTGTTCAGGGGTGCGCAGCATGTCACCGGTAGGGCGACGAGACATGGCCGCAACCTGACCCCAAAGCTTAAACAGCCTGGCGCCCAAGGGCCCGTAGACGGTAGTCGTGTGGCCGCGGCGACCGCGGCAGGCTGGAGGCGAGGAAGTAGCTATTTGTGTCCATTCGATCATCTGGACGGTCGTAATTGTTGTCACGGCGAGGGCACTCGAAGAGTTCAATCACAGAATGATCATGAACTCATCAACCACGGCTCTGTCGTCAAAATGTCAGTAGGAAAACACTTGCACAAGCAACGGGAGCTTACTGTGCCTGGGTATGCCCTGAGCTTCTTGTGTTCCCTCCGCTGGACACAGCCAAGCTGTTTGTTGTGTCGACATACATACGTAGTCATGACCATATCTCTGCGTAAGTACCATACTTTACGGTTTCTCTAGGCGCATTGTAAAGACCTGGGTACCTCGTCAGTGGAGGAGAGCCAAAAGCTAAAAGTAAAGGGGGAGGAGACTGGGTGTGCGGCAGACAAACTGCAGCTTTCGCGACCTTCATCTGCGGTGCCCTGTCTTGCCCTGAGCAGAGGAAACAAACAGCCAGGAGACAGAGACATGCGGTATGCTCCGTCATGACTCTGATCTGCCAGCACACCATCTGCCTGACAACGTGCTAAATTATTTTGATGATGTCAGCAAAGGGCAGACAATCAAGAGACACTAGGAGAAAGACTGACTGATGTTGACCACTCATCCACCAAGACTTAAGCCACATTTACCAAACGATATTTGAGCATAGCGAGGCCAAGAATAGGAGGAGTCTTGCTGGCATTGCTGCAAGCAGCCAGGTGTAAGCCGGCAGGCAACGTCAGTATCGGCTTCTGCGAAAGCGAGACTTGAAGCTACTTGGCTAGGGCTGGCTCCAATGGCGATGGCAACATATTACTACCTACCTGAATCTGCGCACTGCTCCGGTCACCGGTGTGACATTGAGGCATCGGAATAGAGTAGTGTAGCGCGAACAACGGACGCACGCACTTTGCTTAGCCCCCTTGGGCACAAATCCAGGGCAGCCGCTCAATGGTCTGGATTTCTTCCGAAAGGGGCGTCGCTAGATCGGCCAGAGGAGAGTAGCCAAAGGAAAAATCAAAATTGACAGAAATCAAACGGCCTGCCGCCGGGCCGGCCTTGCGATTCCTTTGTTCTCTCAGGCTTCTGGCGTCGTTTCCATGCCGGCTTCCATCCTCGGCTGGCCTCGCCTTTCTCTTTCTTGCATTTGTCTTTTCCCTCTTCTTTGCCTGTGCCTCTGCCTCTACCACACCCACTCTGGCACCTCCCCCCCTCGGGCTAGCGGCAGTCGTATGTATCACCTTAAACTTCATGTCCACAGGTTCGTCTACGTCCCATCGTACCCTCGTGCTCTGGAACTCGATTTTTCAAGCTTTCAATCTGATGCGAGGCGGTCAGAGAGACATTCTAGAAGCTCACAGGGACACGGGAGCCCGCCCCCTCGGTTTGTCAAAGCATGTCGCATCCTTGCTCCAGAAGCCTGAAGGTAAGCCCAAGGAACAGACAAGCAGCATGCGCACTACTGTCGAGTAGAGGCAAGAGGTTAGGGACTATTTTCCCCCTTGTACTGCTAATGAAATTGAGCTCGCGGATCGGAGATCGAGACAAGAGTGACCGTAGGACGAGGACGGCAAAAGCTGCGAAGACGACGGCGGGATCAGTGGGTGCGTGTAAATTGAGCGAGGCCGGATGGAGTGCCATGGACGGGGACTTTTGTCGCATAGCACAAAATAGAAAAGTTGCAGGCGTGGCGCGTGCAGGCCGCAGCAGCAAGGAGCGAAAACGACCGAAGAAGCAGACGGCCGCCGTTCGTTTCGCAGCAGGCCCATTCCTCCACTTCCAGCAGTCGACCTGGGACTCTGGGAGTCTTGGACACACTTGATCTCGTCGCTATCCCCAAGTCGGTTCAGCCTAGCACAGAAAGACGAGTGTGGGTGGACCGCCATCTCACCGCGTGTCTCAAACTTGCAGCCCGGGACCCCTGGCTCATCGGACCCGAAATGGCGCGCACGGTGCACGAATCGGTCTTGGGAGGGGTAGCAGTCCACAGCGGCTGGATGAGAGGATGCACCCGGTCAACCATGTCGGCGGCGGGTGACGGCGAAGAAGCTTGGGGAATGGTGGTCAAGGCGCCTCCAGCGAAGGGAGATCGATGCGTGGAAGCCTTATGGAAGACGGCTAGAAGCCTGCCAAGGTTGGGTTGGTGGAGGGCGAGGAACGGGGGGATTTCGCGCCGCGTGCCAGACGTGAAGTCTGACTCGGCCACTTGCGGTATGTTTATGGTGCCCACCCAGCATCCCTGAGCTGCGAGAGTTTGTCGAACGGTCCAGCATGAGGACACGGCATATGAGGTGTGGAGGCAGGGGCCGAGATGGTTTCCTGGACTGGCTGATAATTGTCATGGAGGTTGAACAATCTGGGTGGTCGTTGAAAGGTTGTTGAAGAAGCCTGAGATCTGAGGTGGTAGACTGGAGGTGCCTGAGGGCACCTAGCTGGTCACCTCACTGTTTCACTTGATGGTGACTAAGCCGCTTCCTTGAGCTGGAAAGTAGCAAGAAGGTCCCACTGGTGCCTTCCTCGTCAACCTCCTCTGCGCTTTCTTGGATTGCTGTTGGTTTGAATCTGGAAAGAAGGCACGCAGGTACGAGATAACTTGGGGAAAGTACGGAGCACAATCGCACTCTGCCTCCCGTCTCTTCCTCCGCGGAGTGGATGCTCCTTCCTTTGTTTTCCAAGGTACCTACTACCCCCGCCAGATCTGCACCTGCCGCGGGAGATCCATGGAATTATCTACGCATGCAAGATTGATGGGTCCATTTCTCTTCCCGTCATTCCTTTCTTTTTCCCACCAGCTTTTCCTTTCTTCTCCATCAACGTCCCCACGCTTTGCCCATTGCTACTACTCTTCCCCTAGATACCAGGCAGATGTGTGTAGCATTCTTCTCCACGAACAAGATTATCTCCAACTCCATCAACCAGGGCCATCGATGGACATCTAACCTCGACTCTACCGTCCGGTCTCCATCTCAGTCACCTTGTTCTAATATCTTGCCAGTGTTTCACCACATGGTTGCTTCGGTGCCTGGTGCAAGAAGACATTCTCTAAGCTTTCATTCGTCCCGAAATCTACAACCTCATTTTCGGCTCAACTTTCGGCGCACACCGACCACGCGGCGTCAAGGGCCACGCAACAAAGAAGAGGACGAACTTGACCCGCGAGTAATTCGCCTCATGCTACTCTCCCACCATAATCGTCGGCTCTGTTCCCGATCTTCGGTCCCGCTGAACTATAGAGAGCCACTGCTTAGACTTCTGGGCCCTGAAACGCGCTGTTCTCCATGCTCCAGGACCATGGGACTAAGACTATCTGATCAAAGACCATCAGCGACCATCTACACGTTGACAGGTATGGCCACAAGCTACATGTCAAGGCGCGCATGAACGTCCGGTTAACTTTTCGCGTCTGCGCCCTGCGTCGCGACTGACATGACTGGCTACACTCCTCGGTCGCTACATAGGGTCCGTAGTCCGATAAAGCGCAGACTATCGCAGATGCTGGGCACGCGTGGCCCAGCCTGTGCAACCCTCAACGCCTCGACAAACCCGATATCTTACATGCCACGTGCTTCCAGCTGTCACCCATTGCTCAATTATGTCGCACGGTGTTCAGGCCATACTCTCTAGAATTGTTCTGTGTCGAAATGACCAGGGTCGCGCTGCTCTACTCCCATCCTATCGCTCTTGTTTCCCATAACGTGCCAAGCCCTATTAATAACTGACTTCCTTATAGATTAGGGGCTTTTGGGGACTGGATTCTGGCTCTGGGAGAGGACAAGCTTCATGACTTCGTCAAGCTTCATGATTTCGTCAAGCTTCAAGGCCGTCCAGTACGCAACACTACAACGAGTCGAGATGCTAATAGAGCAAGTTTCAACCATGGGCCAACAGTGGAGAGAGTAGATGCGTCGGTTCGTCACGTGCTTTCGGCCGCATCGAAAGCGTTCCACCGTCTCCGGAGCAGTACGGTTACATGTCTCTCGCCTTCAAGATCCTACGATTCGTTCAACGGCCCCTGCTTCGTGGCCCGAGCCCATGGCAACGGACACGAGGGCCTTTCCGGGCACCTCTGATCGTCTTGAAACACTGCACGGCTCCGGTCCTCTTCTCGAACCACGCCCAAGGCCTACAGTTTGGATCTCTGGATGATCCCAGCCATTGGCTGACTGCAATCCTACCTTCATCTGCTGCACCCTATTTCGGCCATCACGATAGCAAACTTTTGCAGACACAAAGACTTAGGACTTGGAGCATTCTCAGTACCCTGTGACTACTCCACTGCTATCTGCCCAGGCAGTCAGGCTATATACGCTGTGTTTCTCGTAGACGTAGCGCAAAGTTGTTAGCGAAGCCAAGCTCGAGGCGAACGCTACTTTACTCCTTGCACTGCCAATTCATGAGATCGTGCTTCGATTTTCTTGACGGTGTATCCATTACTGTCACGGGAGCCCTGGGGGCTCGGTCAAGAAGTTCTGGAAGAGCAAAAATGGTATTACTAATTAAGTTATAGTGTGACAAGCTCGTTCTTGTCTGCTCTCGCAGCAAACACAGGACGTTGAATAGCCGCGGCATCGTGCCGGTCGGTACTGTTGGTCCAGCTTCGTCTAGAGAACACCTAGACCCTCCGAGCGGTCTTCTGCGGGACGCATGCCATTTCGGCCACGCAATTCCATATCAAAGTTGCTTCACTCCTTCATGCGATGCGCTTGAACCCCATGAAAAAGGGCAGTCTACTCCTCCGCATATGAGGCGTAGTCTCGAGCGCAGTATCCACGGCATACCCGCAGGCGGCGGTGCCGGCATAGACTCCTCTTCCAACGCCCGCAAGTAGCTGACGATGGTTGAAACAGCGATAGGTTCGACTGCGACTACTCAGGCAGAGAGCTTATTATCGTAGAGTTTGGTGTTCTGCAGCTATCACCGGCGTCGGGGGTTTAATCGATTCGGCCCGAGGTATCGGCCGGCTTTGTGCGGCGGGGAGTTCGCTCCATTGGTCGGCCGTACTTTTAGTCGAAGCCCTGAACCTTTCTTTGTAGGTCAAAGGGCCAGTCCGATTCGGCATCTCGTTTCCCCCGGATCTGGTTCTCAAGCAGGGGCATCCAGACGGATTCGACCGGGCACAGAGGAAGTCGGCACCGGGGAAATATGGGTCGCGGTGCGGGATCCACTCCGATCTGGCAGCCGGACGCAGCGGGTCGCTCCTGCCTTCTGCGGAACGGGCGGGGCCCGAGACGAGTGGAAGTGTCACTGTCCCGAAGGTCCCTCATCGGGGATGTCTTGCTGCGTTTCTCTTACAATCCACACAAGCCTTGTGTGCAGTCGAGGCCTTCCGAAGTATTGCAGCAAATCGATCCGTTGGCGCAAAAGCATGCCCTTCCCAGGTTCGGATCCTCCTCTCCTTCCTTGTCGCCAAAGATTTGTTTCCAAGCGGATGCGATGATGTTGGACGCCGGCGATGTGCTGCTGCTGCTGCTGCTGGTTTCTGGTGTAGCTGCTGACGGTGCTGCCGCGCTAGCCGCAACTGCGGGAGCCTTGGAGACATGTGACGGAGATGCTAGGGGATGTTGTTCTGTATCAACTGGTGCGGCAAAACCTGCTGAGGCGAGGATTGCGACGGAGAGGGCGGCGGAGAATCTCATTTTGGCGGTTGGTGCGTGATGGAAATAGAAGCTCAATAGTGGATGGGAGAAAACGAAGGAAAATAATGAATGAATGAATGAGTTTTAGGTGGGAAAACCGAATATTCCGCCAGGCTCTGACAAACTCGATCGTGAGGGAAGAAAAGATGACAGAATTACATAATACTGCGTATTCTCAACCGCGAGAGTGTACGAGTCGGGGAAGCAGTCGTGCTTTATAAAATAAAAGTGAATCTTGGCGCGAAATTGAGGAAAATAAGGCCGAATCGAGGAGTCTTAGCGCAGACGCGACCGTTTGTTGGCCTTTTGAATCACTGGTGTGAGACCGAAAGGTATTTTAGTCGGGATGCTAACTGTCAAGAGTGAAGCAAAAAGGACAAGCCACACCGAAGGGTGAAACGGGACGCCAAGTTTGGCGCGATGTGGTTACACAAAGGATGTATGGGGGATGAAAAGACGGCGTTTTTGGGTCGTTGAGTTGAAGCGACGCAGGTGGCTTGGTGGAAAGAGGCTAGGTGTGCGGATGGGACGGGTTTTTTGAAGAGGAATTGAAAGAGACGGATCATGAGAGGAGGGGAGGAATAGAGACTATTAAGTAACGAGAAAGAACTTCAGACTGCGATGGATCGACCCCCTGACTTGTCATGTACTCGTAGCATCGAGTTACCAAGGATTTTCTGCGTAATGAGACTTGAAAGTAGTGGATTGTTGGTTGGCTTGTCCGCAACACCCGAATCAGGAAGTTGGCCGTTGGTTTTGGTTATTAGCAACGAGGAATTCATGCTTGTTAGGTAGTACCCGGCGCGAAAGGACAATCAATGGAGATTGGGGGCTACAGGGTCATAGGATCGTAGGGTCGCAGTATCGAGTAATACTAGAGGACGAAGACAAGGATTCGGGGGCTCTCAGCACGTTCAGCTTCCGTTGTGCGCGTGTTGGAACCTCGGAGTTTGGGGGCGGGGCGGTTGGTGGATGGGACGCATGGGAGGAGCACGGAGCGGGCGGGGGATGTTGCAAACATCCGAAGCAGTGGTGAGTTTTTCGACACTCAGCATCACACATCGTCATACGAGATCAAGGAGAGTGGGAGGGCTAAGGAAGAAAGAGAGAGAGAGAGAGACACGAGACGACACCTGGTACGAGCGGTCGGTGCTGCCACGGGTAAGCCCCCAATCCCCTTCATCGTTTGTTTGACGCTGGAACCCCGTGCGCGGAAGTTTGGCGGGAAGATGGGGGAGACAGACACAGGAGGAACTTAGGAAGTGGAGGTTGGGATTCGGGACTATCCTGACGGGGTTCATTAAGCAAACGGAATCTATACTAAGAGACCAAGGTAGGACTAAGAATGGTGCCAGTAAGGACCAGTAGCTTAAGGGGTGAGAAGAGGGGGCATCGCGCTAATGCTTGCGATCGCGACCCCCCAAGATTCATGCATGATTTAAACACGCATCTTCTACGGAGTTTGCTGCTCCTTTGATGGGGGCGATGTACTTTCTATGCACGTAGCCGCCCGTGTTGGTTTGGCAGGTTATGTTTTCTTTGCTTTCATTGTTCAGGAGCCGCTGGTGTTGGGGTCCTGGATCCGCTGTGCAGTTTAGTCCGCAGGTGCATCAGATCCTGGCAGAAAAGTAGAGCATTTTTCGGTTGCATATGATTTATTTAAGGTAAGGAACCTTGGTCTTTTACTTTTGGCGGCGGTCCGCGTCTGGCTTTAGTCGAGTTAGAGCTGTCTGGGGCATGGTGCTTATTGTAGATCATCACATCAGCGGACGGCGCCTCGTTCCAGCCTTTCCAGGAACGCGCCTATTTTCTTTGGTGTGCTAAATCTTAAGTGTTGGTTTTTTTTTTTCTCAAAGCATCAATGGGACTTGTGTCGAATTCGAGTCAGCAGAAGGAAGATGTTTGGTCTCTGACAATTGACCATTATTTGCTGCCCTTTGTGTGTCCTCTTTCTTGATGCGGCATAGTTGCTTACAACGGAAAGAGTCGACGAGTTTTGCTGCCCATGTTGGACGTCACAAATGGTTCATGTTTTTCTCCTTCGTGTCTGATGTGATTGACATCCCGGTTCCAACAAGCAGCGGAAGTCCCACCGACTGCCCTGTGTCCTTTAAACCCCCGTCCCACTTCCCGTACCTGGGGCCGGTACGGCATAGAGGAACCGAGGGGGTGATCAGGTGTCTCAAATGTAGTTCAAGACGTGCAATGAGTCTGAATTGTTACGGTTCATCGAAGAAAACACAGAGTCGAGGCGAGTAAACAGGTTAGAGGCGGCCGTGCTTCGGGAGAGCTGCGGAGGTTTACCATGGTAATTCCGGTGTGGGCGGAACCATAGGAAGGGGAAGTATGGACTCGAATTATCCTACATGGTGAGCCCTTCAGGAGTTGTGCGATGAGATGATGAAGATTCGTCGGTGTGATTAGTCAAGAAATAGAGAGCAAACGTGTTCAAGGTACTCGATTGTCAGATGCAAGCCCCATGTACCAGACGGACGAGGAAAGCCGAAAGCTTGAACAGGACCCCAGTGATCAGCCAGATGGCCAAACATTACGCCATTCGGCACAATCCTGCCAGACATCGTGACTCGTCTGATGTACTGGAGTAAGACAAGGCCCCGAAATGAGTCCGGACACAAATCGAGGTCGATAAAAGAGCTAGAGTAGGCTTCGGACGATGGGTTCGCGGCGCGAATAGAGGTGACTGCGCCAAGTAGGTTTTACCGTCTTAGTGAGGGGGAATTCGACGGCACTGCGGCATGTGGCTGGCCGTAGCTAGATTGCCCGGGCTTGGATTTCTGCCGGATAACCGTTGGGAGGTGTCGCCCATCAACGCCAGTCTCATTGATGCTTTACTGTGGTACGGACGGACACTGGACAGTCGAATGATGGGTGGCTTGGGGCGGTCTGTGTGCCTCTCGTGTCTCTCGCAATTAAGCCTGCGTCCTAACATCCTTAGATGGGAGAGACATGCGCCCATGTAACGGTGGTGATTCAGGTGGTGTTGAGAGATTGGCCAGGCACGGCGGGGTAAAAGGAGGCTACTGCACGGTAGATGGAAGCTATCTTGCTAGCTTTCTTGGGGCTCTCGCAGCGGTAAGGAACTTGGTTGCAATTTTTCGTTCTTGTTCACTTGGGCACAGGTGATACCGAGGAATGGGCATGGGAGAGGATGAGTGTTGCTCAATGCTTTCATGGTGAGACGACGAGAACTCAGTCGCCTCTTAAGCATCGTCGCGCTATAGCAGCTTGCTTTGTTTGCTCTGACGACGACGATGCAACTCGAGAGATTGGGAAATACGGAGGTTTATTGACAGCAGCAGAAGCAGAGTTCCTGACCGAGTACCTGACTTTGTGTGACAGCGGCTACACCCTCCTGTCTGATTCCAAAGTTGCTAATTCTGGATGCCAAGGAGGCATGCGACCAACGGCAGCGGTCCAGGCCGGTGGACGGTAGACTGGAGGGGAGCTTCATTCAGCCTTCAGCAGCTGCATCGGAGGAGAAGCCGAGGAGGAAAGGAAAAGTTCCCGCTGCCAGTTGGTACTGCACTCTTAGAGGTGGCCCCAGCTGGCCACCAAACTCCAATGTCCGCCCGGGTGGATCGGGGTTAAGGCGGACGGCAACGCAAAGAAGGTACGGGAATTTCCACCAGCTTCTCTCCAGCCACTCACATGACCGCAGAAAAAGTTAGCTAAGCAGCTGCCTCAGCCAAACCCACCCGGAGAGAAAGCACCTCAGGCAAATTCCGGCCCCGAGAGTCCGCCAGAATCGGGAACGTCATTCGTCATTGCCTCCCGCGAAACTCCTCCACGCAGGCCTTTAAACATCGTCAACCACCACCACATCTCCTTTGTTTTCTCCCTCGCATCGCAAATACACCCACATCACACTCGCACACGAATCGACACGACAACGATGTCATTCAGCATCACACTCCGCCAAGGGCCCGCGCGCCTGGCGCAGCGTCTCCCGCAGCTATCCCAACCCTTCCGCACAACCGCCACCAGAGCCTTCCACCAGGCCTCGTCAAAGTCAAGACCGACCGCCTCCGTCGCGACCGCCGCCCGTAATGCGCTCCTCCGCGGCTCCTCGAGAACCTACATGCAGCAGGCCGCGCCCGGTGTCCAGGGCCAGGCGAGCCCCCTCCGGAAGTTGTTGGTCGGCGGCGCCATCTTTGGCGGTACCCTTGTTGCCATCAATGTTGTCTTCAACCGTGAGACCCGCGATGACGGCGGCATGCCCGTTTACGAGCGCGAGTACCTCAACGATACCTTCCTTCACACCGGTTTGGGTGTCGGTATCATTGCCCTCAGCGCGCGCCAGATGATCCAGTCTGGATTTGTCTACAGGCTGATGGTGACCAACCCTTGGGTCGTTGGTATCGGTGGTCTTGCTCTCAGCTTCGGTACCATGTACGGTACTCGCGCCATTTCTCCTGATAAGTAAGTTATGAATCATATCCTGAGAATCCGAGAAGCAAATACTCACGCATCAACAGCTACATTCCCAAGTACGCCATGTGGGCCGCCTTCAACGCAACCCAGGCCGCCATGATCGCCCCCCTCCTGACAATGGTCCCCGGCGCCCTCCTCGCTCGCGCAGGTCTCTACACCGTCGCCATGATGGGCTCCCTCTCCATCGTCGGTGCCACCGCCAAGCAGGACAAGTACCTCTACATCGGCGGTCCCCTCCTCGCCGGCCTCGGCGTCGTCGTCGCCTCCAGCTTTGCGCCCATGCTGCTGCCCGTTACCGCCGTCCGCACCCTCGCTCTGACCGAGAGCATCTCGTTGTACGGTGGCCTCGCCGTCTTTGGCGGCTTCACCCTCTACGACGTCCAGAAGATTCTGCACCACGCCCGTCTTGCTGAGCGCGGCATCATTCGCAAGGATGCCGTCAACGAGAGCATTGCGCTTGAGCTTGACTTTATCAACATCTTTGTCCGCATGGTGCAGATTCTGATGATGCAGCAGAACCGCAGGAAGTAAAGGACAGGTCGAGGTTGAAGTGTGGAAGTAGTGGAGGATAGGATAATGGGATCCCGCCAGTGGGACGGTGTATATACCCCACGGCGGGCGGAAAACAGAGGCTCGAGAACCCCTCTCATGATACGACTTCAAAGAGACCCATGGGCTCGGAGTTGGTTTTTTTATGTTGTACAATACCAGAAGAAATAAAAATTATAAATTCGGTCAACAAATGTTCCGCCATGCCGGTCATCTAGCAAGTTGATTCATCTACAAATGTGTTCAGAGTAGCGCATCACCGCATTGCCACATTGACTTATCTAGAGGTCGAGGTCGAGACCTCTACTTGTCTCCTCGAAACCTGACCATGTAATTACTGCTGCATCATGATGTTGGGTATCACAGAACATCACCCATGCTACACAATTTTAAAATCAAAAGCGGTTGAGCGCTATTCATTGCCTCGGAGCCTCTACGTGCGTAATAGAGAAAGCCACCTGACACATCCCATCCATCATTATGATTCCCTCAAGTTGAAAGAGAAACCCCATATCGTTACATCCTACTCGTCCTCTTCGCCCTCTTATCATCCCTTCCATCCTCCTTCGCTTCTCCGCCGCCGTCAAGGAGTCATCCCTCAAGCGGAGGAAACGTCCTCAAAAAGTGACTGGGACACTCATACCCTCCCGGGTTATTATCCAAATACAGCTGATGATACGCCTCCGCATCCCACCACTGTCCCGCCGGCGCAACCTGCGTCTTAATAGCCCCCTTATACCACTGCTCATTCGCCAACCTCGTAACCTCCTTCGCGACCTTCTCCTGCTCCTCGTCATGGTAGAAGATCGCGCTGCGGTACTGCGGGCCCGTATCGGGACCCTGGCGGTTCGCCGTGGTGGGATCGTGCATCTTGTAGAAAAACTCGAGGAGCTGGCGGTAGCTCACTTCTTCGGGCCTGAAGACGACCTGCAGGGCCTCGGCGTGGCCCGTGTCGCCGCCGCAGACGGCGCGGTAGGTCGGGTTGGAGAGGTCGCCGCCGATGTAGCCCACGCGGGCGTCGATTAGCCCTTTGGAGGCGAAGTGTTTGCGGTAGAGGTGTTCTACGCCCCAGAAGCAGCCTGCTGCGATGGTGGCTTTTTGGGCGCCCTCCGGGAGGGAGATGGGGGCGGGGGGCGTGATTGACATGCTTGTTGTTGTTGTGAAGGGGCGGGTTAGGCGGGTTAGGAGGGAGGAGATCATTGTTTGGTGGTGGTGTGGAAGGGGGGTTGTTAAGAGGAAGAAGACGATGGGGATTGCGAAGGCGAGGGCGAGGAGGGGCAGCTGCTGGAGCTTGTGGTGGGGTTTGCGTTTGGGGGCAATCGTAATTTTTGGGCGGTATTGCGAGGGGTGGTTTCTGGTTTCTGGTTTGTGGTGCGCTGGTTGTAATGGGAAGGTGATTAGAGGACGTTTCGGATGCCTTTTATGCAATCAGAGCAGTGGTGATTCCAAAGATTGATTACACGATCAAAATACAATGTTGCAAAAGGAAGATGAAAAGTGATTTGGATTCAATTGCGATTATGTATATAGAGTTGGTTACACTGCCACCTGCGTCAGCCAGATTCCAAACCATTGGATCCCGTTGTCGCCACGCCTGCGCTGGAGCTCTCGGGGGTCCTCTGGGGCTGCTCACCTAAGAAAGGGACGGCAAAAAAAAAGTGTCAGAGTCACCACTTGGCCAGGGACCAGAGGCGGTGGCTCGGGGCGGAAAACGTGGAGTGCATGACAAATCGGGGGCGGCCGGCTCGGAGATCCTTTTCCAACGTGGACCCACCTTTCTCTGTGCCGGGTCACGGGTTTTGGGTACGAAGTCATGTACCCTTATCCGTACCTAGCTGTCTTAGGTAAGGCCACTTAGGTAAGCTTCCCAATCCGAGGAGCTTCGGTGTCCGGGGGAGCTGCAGCCCTGCAGATGGGAACTGCCCTGTCACCTGTGAAGCTGTGTGCCCCGCCTTGGAGATCCACCTGCAAGACAGTAGCAATTGCTCAAGGTTGAGACTGTGACACTGCGGTTCCGCCTTTCCGCGTGTGTTGGTGCTTGGCTTGTGAATCCTTCTCGCCGGACATAGGGATCGTTACATGATTTCCGGCTTCGTTGGAGACTTTGGAGTAAAGCGTGAGGAGCTTTCTCGGTCTCCTTTGACCCCGCGTTGTGAGCTGTTGCTGCGGGGTCTTGCTCGTTCGTAGTTGGGGTCAGAGGTTTCGTTCTTGTTCATAAGGGAGGGGAGCACACTTTGAATTGAGCTTCAATTGTATCGTTTTCCATTGTATCTGAACCATAGTTTCATTGGATCTGCATCAGAATTATTCGAGCATATATCCATCCTCAGTAGATATGAGCGGACTCGCAGGAGCAACCAGAGCTGCGGCTCAAGCTAGGTCCGTCATCTTCTCACACGCAATGATACCTCACACCCCCGGATACACTCACCCGTGTACATGATTCGTCAATGGGTTCAACAAGACAAGCCAATACGGTGACTGACACCTACCAACAGCCGCGTCGCCATCGTGACGGGCTCCTCACGAGGAATAGGCCGCGCCATCGCCCTCCGCATCGCCCGCGACGGCTACGACGTCTGCATAAACGACATCGCCGCCAACGAGGCCGGCTCCCACGACGTTGCCAAGCAGATCCGCGACCTTGGACGCCGGGCCGTGGTTGCGACTGCCGACGTGAGGAAGCTGAGTGAGGTGCAGGCCATGATTGATAAGACTGTTGGGGAGCTGGGTCCGTTGAACACCATGTAGGCCTCATTTTCGTCTGCTCATTGAATTCATTCATGAGGGGAGCTTGCTTCTTTTTTGAGATGAGGAAGTGAAGGTTGCTGACAATGGGAAGGATCGCGAATGCAGGCATTGCACAGGTCAAGCCACTCCTTGACCTCACCGAGGAAGAATTCGAAAACATGTTCCGCGTCAACGTCTTTGGCGTGCAGAACTGCTACCAAGCCGCCGCGAAACAATTGATCAAGCAAGGCAACTGCAAGCCCGAAACCCCCGGAAAGATCATCGGTGTAAGCCCTCGTATCTCTCCACCTAGAAAATCACATATCAAACTAACAATTCACCCTAGTGCTCCTCCATAGTAGGCTTCAAACCCTTCGCCCTCCTATCCCACTACTCGGCCTCCAAATGGGCCGTCCGCGGCCTCACGCAGGCCTCGGCCATGGAATACGCCGAGCACAACATCACCGTCAACGCCTACGCGCCCGGCATCGTCGGCACGGCCATGTGGGACCTCATCGACGAGAAGCTGGGCGAGAAGACGGGCGCGAAGAAGGGGGACACGATTAAAAAGTACACCAACGAGCTGATTGCGCAGAAGCGGACGAGCGTGCCGGAGGACGTGGCGAAGCTGGTGAGCTTTTTGGCGGGGCCGGATAGTGATCATGTTACGGGGCAGACGCAGATTGTGGATGGGGGGATTATTTACACTTGATTTAGTGGCTGTGTGACTGTTGCGTGTAGGAGCTGTGGAATGTTATTCTTTGTTCAGATGTCGGATGATGTGTGGGAAATTCGTTGTCTTGGTGTTCGGGTGATAAGGCCATCGTTAGCTATGCTGTTGGTTTCGGGTGAATGAGGGCCGGGTGAGTGAGCTTCCCTCGGTCACAGGGCTGTCACACTGTGAGCATGTCCGGCTTTGAACACGCCAAACGTAAGAGCTCTTATCGACGTCGAAGATGGCTTATCAATGATGAGTGAGATGATTGAATTCTTGAGCAAGGCTTAATGCTTGTAAGACATCAGCAATGACGAAGAGTGGAAGGTGGCGCGAGTGGGAGGAGGGCCTGGACGAGCCTCGTCAGTCGACGGCAAGCTCCATCACTGAGGGAGCGCTTCTTGTGCAGACACTGTTGTTTCGATGAGGGTAGGGGTGAGATACGCATCATGAGATGGTGTTATCCGGAGGGAATGAGAGTGATGTGAGGGTGTACAGACTTTATGGTTCGCACGCCTGCAGGTCTCTTCTCAATGAGTAGCTCTATGTGAGGCGGAACAAGAGGAATACCTGCCAAGCCAACCTGTTGGCAGACACCAAGGCAAACCACTGAACATAATCTACATACCAATGAGAATCTCGACTTATTCGGGTGATCCCGGTGTCTCATTTGTGAAACCGAAAGGCTACTTGATCTCTGATCCGAAGACTGTATGCTGCGAGGAAGATTCACTACCGATGGGAGGGATCACATCACTTTTTGCATGTCACAGAAAGCGCATGTTTGTGGGCAAGGGTTTCATTTCAATTGATGTATGGAGCAGTAGTAACAATAGGTCAAGCCAATTTATGGCTAACAGTAATACGCCTAGCCATTTTATGACTGGTCGTTAATAAGTCTAGACATCTTGTGTCTGACAGCAACCCAAGGCTATGCGATGTCCCGTAATCCAAAACAAACAAACCATGCAAACGCCAATAGCACCCAGAAGTTGCCACAGTGGTGATCTCCAATCAGTGAAATGAAACCCAACTCTCACTCAACCCAATTCTGATGTGCAGGCACAAGCTGCTAACCATCAGACCTCGCCCGTTCGTACTCCTCTAGGCATCATAGAGAGCCTGCCCAGCATAGATGCTATTGTGGGCATCCGTCATGTGCTTGTAGCAGTCGCCAGAGTTGTCGAACACCGCCATGCAGTGCCAGCAGACGTGGGCACCGCACTTGCACTCCAGGTGATTGCACCCTTCGTAGCGGTCGACAGGCGTCTTGCACTTGGGGCACGGCTTGATGTTGAGACCCTTGAAGAGCTCAGCATTGACGTGATCCTCCGCCTTGTCGCACGTGACGGTCTCGTCGTGTGGCATGTGGCAAGACGTGCAGAGGATCTCGAGACAGCCAATGCAGCGCTGGATGGTGCCCTTGTTGTCTGCCGCCATGGGAGTGACCTTGTAGAGCTGCTCGCAGCGCGGCGTGGGACAGCAGTGGTAGGTGGCGGTGTTGGCTTGCAGGTAGGAGCTCAGAGAACGCTCGATGAGCTTGTCCACGCCCTGGTAACCCAAGTGGGTGTCGAGCTCTGGGAGTGTGATGGGCTTGCCGCACTTGCCAGAGTCGCCGAAGCACTTGATGCCGTTCTCGCTGGGGGACTTTGCGGTTGACGAGACTGTGTGTTCGTAGCACCCAGCGCAGTAGATGTGGCCGCAGCTGGTTCGGACTGTTTGCTCTGGAGGGCAGAAGCAAATGACACACTCGCCATCGGGGCAGTCTCTCATCCGGCCTTCCGCAAAGTTGTAGGAATCCCAGCTATCCCCGTAAGAGTCCATGTATACGAGCATGACCAAGTCCATAAGCTCTTTCTTGAAGAGGATGGATTCCTTGATCGCGGAGGTGACATGGATGGATGCGACATCTCCGTCGATAGTGTCGGACCATCCGTCGGTAGGGTGGATGATTCCGGTCTTTTTCATGTGATCAAGCCACTTTGCTGGGAAGGAGTACTCCAAGTTGAAGCAGAGGTCTGCAAACAACTGACTGATACCAGCAGACTTCTGGACCGTGTTGTTGAGCTCTTTGACTACCCGTCTCGCGTCGGATTGTTCGTCGCAAACAAGAACGACGGCGGATTCGTCGCCACGATCTCTGATCCGATCCTCTACGATGATGGTACTGTTGGTAGAGAACAAGTCCTTGATGGCTTGGAGCTGAGCTGCAGGCGCGAGCTTGGCGTTGGAACCCCCCATGAAGGTGCGGCTGGGATAGAGCCTCGCTGGGAGATCATGGGTGATGTCCGACTTGGTGGCCTTGAGAGGAAGTCTGGTGAGCTGAAGCTGTGGACCGCGCTGGCCGGTAAGGAATTTCGCCTGAACGTAATTCCCGCAGACTCCAATTTCTCCGTCGTTGAAGCGGCGGACAACCTCGCGGCACTTGGAGGCGTCACTATACGTGAGCATGGCCGTTGCAGTGGGGTTGCGCCAGTGGAGTCTGACAATGTTGGCCAGCATCACAGAGGAGTATGTGTGCTCATGGAAGCTGGCGAGATAGGGGATGCTTCCGGAGAGAGTGGTGGGAGGAAGGACGATATCCTGAATCTCCAGACCAGGGCCAAAGGTTACATCTGCGCCCAACATCTTCTTGACAAGCTGCTCTGACGCCATGATGGGAGAAACAGTTGACTGAGTGGAAGAAGACATTGTAGAATGACGACTGAGGATGTGATGTAGAAATGAGAGATAAGTAGTTACTCTGATGAACAGAAGTAGCTAGACCAGCAAGTAATGCGACGAAACTGCTTGGAGTTCAGGACCGTGCAAGAGTAGAGTAAGAGTGGCTGAAAAGCAATGTGTAGACTGTAGAGAGAAGTGGATGATGGATGAGATGGAAGACGAACTGCTTCTAGGGGGAGAGAAGACTGCATTATATACGGGATTTCTGTCCTGCCAGATGCCCCCAGGAATCTAACGGAGATAGGTCTTGGACCGGGCGACGATTTTACGGCTCGTTGCCGCAAATCAGGGGCTATGATGCGTAACCCGGGGGGGTGAAAGGTGTTGTTATGAGGGCATTTCAAGGTGAAGTTGACCGTCAGGTTAAGCCCAAGCCCGTGGAAAGCTTCCCGCACCGTTCGGGTAGTGTAGATGAGACCCGCAACTTTAAGGTTGCATGAGTTCTTGCCCTGAACCGAGGGTTTGGATATCCCAAGACACATTACCAGGCCAGGCAGTGTGCAGCTGCTCTTCGTCACCTATGTCTGCTGCTCGAACGTACTATACATTGCCGAAGTAGTCAATTCTCAGCTTCTCATACCGGCTGTCTCTTAGGTCTTGCACCATTTCGAACCAAACTACAGGGAAATGGTCCTGATCACCGCTAATGTGCGTGTACCGTTGCCTCGACCAACCGTATGGACCGCCTAAAGACTTCCCGCCGAAGGAGCGAACATTCAGACTTACCTGGATGGATTGCAGCATTTTATACCTTGAAGGTAAGGCAAGGAGGCAAGGGTAACTGTGCATTTCCAACCTCTCCGGCACTAGGAACCTGGGTATTGCCTCTTCCCAACCCGGTCGAAAACTTAAAGTCGAGGAAGTTGCCACAAAACATCGTTTCTCTCGTTGTGGGATGCTCAATTGCGACAAACCTCCCCTTCTGATGGATTAGCCTTAGGTTGCTTGACCTTGACGGCTTGCTTGCCGAAATCCGACCTTAGGCTTGTCGTGGAGAGGCTGTGCGTGGACAACATTCTGTACGACTGGACAGAGGATATCGACCATGCTTTGGGATTTGTCTGGCAAGAAGAAAACTTTGACTATGACTCTGATGAACAGGCAGTTTGACTGTTACTGGCACGGAAGAATGCCCGAGGTTGATTATTCTTCAACACCATTGTTACAAGAGGAAATCGGAAGAAATGTGTCCTGTCAGGTTCTGATTTTGGTATTGTTATCCGCGTTGGCAAACCCCAATGGTTTGTGATCAGTAGGAAGTATCTACAGGTAGAGAAGCATGCGGATTGTCGACGCAATCAATTGGACAGCGTGTCGCAGTCTTTATGCCGCAAATGGAACGGAAGGCGCCAATAACGATGTGGAACTGGACAGGAGTAGACAACGAAGATGGAGAAGTTTTGCCCGGACTTTTCAAATACTCTTTTGGCCCCAAGCCTACTTGTCAAAGGAGACGATGACCTGGCAGCTGTTCAGTTCAGAGCTGCTGGGGTGAATGCCGAGCTTGGCGGCCCCAAACTGGCGTTGGGTGGGATGGCTGAGATCAATCAGGCTTGAATACTGTTCAATGCATTTGTTGCCTGAAGCACTGTCAATCGTAGCAGAAAATAAAGAAGATGTCGAAAGCCGCTGACTGCTAGAAACGGGCTCCTTGAGCTTTGGATTTGGGGTCCCAGCCGACCAGAGACTTCGGCATAGCGCTATACACGATAGAACTAATTGCAAGTCAAGTAAGGTATGAAGAGGCACAGGTCATGAGGGCAAAGTGTCGATGCAGCAATATATATATAGGCTGATGAGGCCGAGCTACTATGTACAGAGAAGTTGTCCGGTCAAAGACTAATGTAGACCCAGTGACACGGATTAAAGAAGCAAATACACGCTCAATGGGATATTTTCCCTGAAACTCCACGCTCAAACATGAAAAGACAGGATGGCACCAACAACCGCTCGCTTAGCAAGCAGACAAAGAAGTCTGGCCCTTGCAGTTGGCGGTGGTGCTGACCTTGGAGCTCTCGCCGCTGCCCTTGGAGACACCCTTGTACTCCTGGCAGACCTTGGAGACGCTGGAGCCGCAAGTGTTGGAGATGGTGGCGACATCGCCGTAGTTGGAGTTGATGCCGACGAGCTCCTTGACGCTCTTGGCCTTGACGTTCTTGACGATGACGTTGCGGGGGCCACCGTTGTTGGTGCAGTCGCCGCAGCCGCGGTAGAGCTTGCCGGCGGTGACGACGGTGAAGCCGTCGATGGTGACGGTGCCGCGGCCGTTGTGCTGGACGACCTTGTCGACGGCGTTCTGGGCACCACCACCCTGGATGAGGACATCACCAGTGCCGAGAGCGGAGATAGCATCTGTAAATAGGGGTCAATAAGCATGCTTTGAAGGGCTCGAATCAGAACATAGGAGTGA